AGTTTCTTAACAGAGGAAAAACAGTTTTTTTCGTTTTTTATTTGATTCTACATAAACTACCATTTCTTAATCCTTTAGATCATCATGGAAATATTTGCTATATGTCGTTACACATTGCGTTTGATGTGTAGGAAGTTAGAGGATGAGATAGGCAAAAATGGGGAGAGTCATTGTCACGTGCGTTTTTGCGGTGGTTAAGAGTAGAGAGCGTGCAATATATATCTCTAGTGGGAACCAAACTGACTAAAGTACATACGAAGACCACTTCGAAGTTCCACCTTGTGTTTCTGTCTTCAGACAAAAATAAATAGAGAAAAAAAAAATCTACACATTTGCACACTTTTGCTTCTTTTCTTTTTTTGTTTGCAGCTTTTTATTTTTTTTTCTCTCTTTTTCATATTTCAAATTTGTAATACAAAGTTAAGACTAATATCAATGTTTACAACAACTAAGTGAAACAACAACAATTTCTGTATTAATCTTTAAATGTTAGTTTACTTTGAATTTTTCTTATGGCTTAGCCTGTGATGGATAACTGAATCAAACAAATGGTGTCTGGATTTAAGAAGATCTGTTGGACCGTTCGGTTTAAAGAAAACTTCTCTATCGATCATTATTACTATATTGTGGTGGAGCTTATATGGAGCAATACGGTACGTGGGCTTTTGATATAAATAAATGGGCTTTCGTCCATATATTCACTACTACCCAGTACCCATGTTTGCTTTTCTTATAAGTTCCACAATTGTCCCACATCGCTACTGTGAAGAAAACACTTGTTGTATATATAACTTTGAGTGAACAACATTGGTCACGACCTTACTTGAACAGGATCTGTTCTATAGGCTCGTACCTCTGTTTCCTTGATTTCTCAAGAGACAGGCCCTTAACCCTGGTTGATGAATCATGACCGTGCGATCAGAGCGTGATTAACGGCTACGATCGTCTTCGGATGCATCCGGTGCTGTAGAGGATCGTTACTCGGCTCGGTTCTACCTTGCCGGGGTGGTCGCACGGCGGTCTGACAGGTCCCCTTTTTTTTTTCTTTTTGTTTTTTGTATGGATGCGAGAAGTTGCTGCCTGCTTCAGAATAGCTTAGGGTCCTTCAATTCCTGAATACAGGGCCTGGGCAAGCCACCCAAGCAAATGATTAGGGCCAGACATTATAATAAGGATTTTGGGGGCACTTAATTAATTTCTTTGATTAGCCTTATAATACTTTTCTTCCATTTACTTTAAAATTTTGAGTTCGAGTATATCTTTCTATATAATCTTTTCATGTTTCCCATTTTGCTTTCTTTCGTTTTTGTATATACTAGATTGTGTACCCGCGCGTTGCGCGGGATTTAATATAAAACTTTTATTCTTTAAATATAAATATAATTAATTAAATGTTAAAATATTTACTTTACTCATGTGCATTATATTTTCTCGGCATATACTCTCTTTTCTCCTTAGATCATATCTATTTTCTTCTTCATATCTTTCACTACTTAATTTCATTATAAATTTCATGATCTTTTTATTAAAGTGAATATCGGAAACAGAAATTTAGGGAAATGTTTGTTATAAGATTTCTTGACCATGTTTTGGTGCATCTAAAATTGCTTTATAGACAACAAATCTCATATATGGACTCATTCGTACTTACAAACATAGAATTTCAACATAAAATTTTGCACTTTATCTTAGCCATTTGAAAAATACAAAATTCTCTTTCTACATATATAACTTAACGTATGTTATGATTTTCAGATAGTATTCTTAATGTTGACTTACTTCTCTAAAAATTATTCTAATATAAAATACATTTATTTTTTTGAATAAACAAAATCCTTCTTATTTCTAATGAAAAACTCTTCAATCTACCATTACTATTCTAATTTCCAAATAGCATTCTCATATATTATTATTACACAGTTTTATAATTCTATAAGATTATTTTATTTGTATTTGTGATGTTTAGGATAGTTTTTTTGTTTTATTTCAAATCACTTTAGTTTTTTTAATCTATGTTAATTTCCTAAACATTGATTAATATTTCATTTTTCATTTTTTTTTTAAACAAAGCACCACTCTTTAATTTAGAAAACATTACTAATATAGAAAAATAACTATTTATATTATCTTATAATTATAAATAATAATATGTCCTAAATCCTTCTTATTTTTTAATTGGTACTCACATTCGAATGTCTAAAGTGAATTGCTTTTTATTTTAAGTAAAAACCTTTAAATTTGATATTTTTTTAACACTTATTTACTTTACTCTACTAAATAATTGTAACTCTTAAAACTAATTATTGTACCATTAAAATATAGATAAGTTTATTTTTTCCTATCTTTCTGTTTTTTCATAATATTTCATTTAATTTTTTGTCAATTATTGTTTTTATTTAATGTGTGAATTAATTTTAGTTTTAATATTTGTTTTAGTAAATAAAGTATGTGGAGCCCACACAAAATTAAAATAGGATGACTTGGATGATGATGTGTACACCCTAGATGGAGAGACAACTCTCCCATTATATATATAGATTCTCCTTTTTATTTGATTCTAGCATTTATCACTTATCAATATATTAAAGATAATACAAATTCGAAGTAAAAGAAGAATTATATCTAATTTTAAAACTCTACCAAATAAAAAATCCTAAAAAATCATAGATTTCTCTTGTCATTTTCTCAAAAAAAAAATACTACTTCCTATCGTTAGTAACAAATTTCATTAGAAATTTATTCATTTGAGAATAAGAAGAAATTTAAACCAAATTTTTTTATTATAGAAAGTAGTTTTTTCCTAAGTTTTTTCAAATAATTTGTTGTTTTAAAAAGTAATAGCTAGATGCTTCTTTTTCGAATTTTTTTGCTTCAGGCCACCAATATTGTTGGACCGGCCCTGCCTGGATATGACATCGGGAATAATGGTTATGTTACTTCAGTGTGTAAGTACTAAATAAATGTGTTACAGAGCCTGAGTGGTATATAGTTTGTTCCTTTGTCGATTTATTTTAACAGGTCTTTAGTGTTCATTTGAGTTATTGAGAGTTGCAACGTTTGGCAATATGGTTAACAATATCAATAGATGAAAGCTGCAAGGTTAAACCAGTTATAAAAACCTAGAACACACCAATATCCATGTGAATGTCTTCCATGACTGATTGAAATAGAGCACATTCTTGAATATTGGAACTATAAGGCTATAATAAGCCTAGTTTAAAGCATTTTTAATGATGGTTTTATAATTACTTTAAGGTAGTCTGTGTTGGTGCGAGAACATTTAGATTTGAGAAAATAAGGGAAGAACGGATTTATCGGAAACATTTGTGGCCAACATTTTGCATCCATAGCCGAAAACGCTTTGCAGCACATTGCTCCAATATTACCAAACTTTCCTGTGAAAACTGATTTGTGGATTTCTGTTACACAACCTTGAACGTTGACAAGTGATGACAAACATTTAGTGACAAACATTTGGAGAACCAGGAATGGAAGGAAATCGAGGTGTCACCAGCACATCAGCTAGCACTGACCTCAATAGAGTAGTGGCACACAAAGGCCAAAGCCATGACTAGAATCACGAAGAAAGAAGCTGGATTTGTACCTTCCATAATGATGGCAATATCTTTTCTTTTATTAATTTTCTATATAGAGAAGAGCAGATTATTTGAGATGGTCTTGAGAAATCAGAAGAAAGAAACTATTTATAATGTGTGACATTATTGGGAGAGTTACACTTTTTTAAGTCTTCTGTTATTACAACCTCTCAATTAAACACTGAAGTGTAACACTTTACGACCAGAGTTACTTAAGTTGGGGAGGTTTTCGTTTTACCAATGCATTCAAACAAACTTAGCTTTTGAATTAATGCATTCAAAATCATGGTAGTTTAAATTGCAACTAGGTGACAGACTCGCGCCTTGCGTTCAATAATAATACCTCAGTTTTTTTTTTTCTTTGTCCACTTGTTCAATCTCGATTTCTCTAATTCTCTCCATTCACTCATGGATTTTTTCCATACAAATAGTAATTAACAACTTTGGTTTTGGATCGAAACTCCCATGCTCAATAAACCTTAAACACAAATCAAACAATTTAAAATCAGCAAAACAATACTGATATTGATAGTAAAATAAAAACTCAATCACAAAATCAATATCATCGACAGAAAAATATATATATATCAAGGTGATAAAATTCAAAACAATACAAAAACACCAACTGAAATGATTTATTTGGCGACTATGGCCTAACAAATATGAGTCTTACTGTGTGGTCGAGGTTCAATATTTATAGCCTAATGTTTAGGATAAACCGTTATTCTGAAATTTTGACTTTTTTATTAGAAATTTTTCATATAAGAATGTTTGCTGAATAATTTAGACTTTCTCTATAAATTTTTAAAATATTAAAAAAACAAAATTCCATATTCTATATCAAATTCTTCTGATTTATCATTATACCCTAATTTTAATACCTTCGATCGTGTGAAAATCAAAATCAAAATTGATACACTTTTTATTAAGGGTTGCTTCGAAATTCCACGTCAACTTTCATCCGAAGAGTTTTCTTGTCCCAACTTTAATATGGTACAAACTTCTCAAAAAAATGTTTAGAAGATTACATATTTTGTTAAAATACTACAAAATTGTGGTATTTTTTTTATAATGTCAATTGGTGATATTTTAGTATATATTCCATAATTTATTATATTTTGGTAAGATTCTAAAACATTCTTCATAGGAAGAAAAAAGGCAAATGAGGAAACAAAAAAGTCAACAACAAAAAAGAATAGAAGGCAAGTTTTGGAAATGGAAAGAACACTGCTGTAAATTAAATAATTAATTGGAAACCAATTATAAAAAGGAAATCTGGACCAAAAATAAAAATAAAAAGGAAACTGTACGGTAATATAAAATTTCCAATTATAATCCTACGTGGATTATTCCACCGCCTCAAAAAGAGTATAAATATAAGAATGCCTTCTTGTAATCTTTACACATTACAAATTAATCTATCTTTTCTTGTACACATCATGGAAGCTACTCCAGAATTCAACTACCAAATTGATGTCAATCCTGAACGCAAAAAGATTGGCACAATCCAAGTCTATTCAAGTTTCGTCAGACCAGCCAACATGCAGCCGATACTAACCCGGTCGAACTTCTCATGTTCATTACCTGCCAATGAATTCACTGACGATGAAGATTCTCCCCACAAACAAAGACTCTATTACTTCTTAAAAGATTCAGGAGTTGATGCAGAAGATGCTTACACGTTAATAATAAAACTCACTCAACTTGCATGTAAAGTAACTTCTAATTCGTTTGAATATTGTTCACGTTATGCTTTGTTAATGTGGTTGACTCTTGATGTGGCTCCTTCGAACGAATATGAGAGGAATAGCGTGTTTAGACCCGCGAGCAAGTTAAGAGTCGAGGCCTTGAGCAGGAGAATATACAAGAGAAAACGAAAGACCAGCTCTATTGCTAACCAGTGCACAAGATACAAGAGAAAACAAGAGAGCAGCTCTAGTGGTGACAAGTGCATAATTTGTTTTCAGAAGTTCAAAACCAGACAAGAAGTTGCTACTTTACTTTGTGGTCATGAATTTGACAATAAGTGTATTATGGAATGGTTTAAGGTTCGCCACAATTGTCCATTGTGTCGCTTCGAGTTACCACAGGTTCCTCAACTAACTACAGTTTTCTAACTAAAATACATTCACACTTAAAGTGTTTTATTTTGTTTTATACTCATATAGAGATCAATATACGGTTTTTGACATGATTAAAACACTTATTTCATTCATCATGACTAGTAATCTAGTGGATTAATTTAATTTGTGCTATTGTCGTTGTGTCACCATCCAAATTCAATCATGCGTAATGCAGATTGACAAATAAAATATATATAATTACTTTTTTGTTATGGGATACGAGTAAAAGTTTAAATACGCAAAGTAGTTCACAAATGTTATGTTGATTAGGTCTACGAGGAACCATACTTAGGTTTACCCCTGGGGTGAACCTTTAAATTCACCCAACAGATTATAGCCAATCGTTTTGCCATGTCATTACTATTACTAGAGAATTAAAAAAAAACCCCATTAAAAAAAAAAAGGAAATCAGAAAATAGATTTAGAGTTTAGGGTTTAGGGTTTAGGGTTTAGATTTTACAATTAAAACGAAATTAGATGTCGGTTTGGGTTGCCAAATGAGTGGTTAAGGTTTAGATTTTATAATTAAAACGAAATTAGATATCGGTTTGGGTTGACAAATGAGTGGTTAGGGTTTAAATTTTACAATTAAAACGAAATTATATATCTGTTTAGGTTTGTGAAATATTTGTTATATAAACCCTAAACCCTAAACCCAAATCCTAAACCATAAACCCTAAACCCAGCGGTGAACAGATATATAATTTCGTTTTAATTGTAAAATTTAAACCCTAACCACTCATTTGTCAACCCAAACCGATATCTAATTTCGTTTTAATTATAAAATCTAAACCCTAACCACTCATTTGGCAACCCAAACCGACATCTAATTTCGTTTTAATTGTAAAATCTAAACCCTAAACCCTAACCGATATCTAATTTAGTTTTAATTATAAAATCTAAACCCTAACCACTCATTTGGCAACCCAAACCGACATCTAATTTCGTTTTAATTGTCAAATCTAAACCCTAAACCCTAAACCCTAAACCTTAAACCCTAAATCTATTTTGTGATTTCCTTTTTTTAATTGTGTTTTTTTTTTAATTCTCTAGTATTAATAATGACATGGCAAAACGATTGGCTATAATCTATTGGGTGAATTTAAAGGTTCACCCCAGGGGTAAACCTAAGTATGGTTCGTCTACGAGCAAAAGAAAAAAAATATTCGTAAAGGAAGGAAATTTGAGTGTTTTAAGAAAAAACAAAATTATAAATATGATGCAACCTAGATTTAGGATAACCACTCAATATATGTATTTATTCTTATTAATTATATATTTTAAAGCTTATCCTATTTTGATAAACTTATCTTATTGGATTTTCATGAGTTTGAGATTTAAATATAAAATATTTAAGGTTTCATGAAGTTAGAATAGTTCGTATTGATTTTGAGATTTAATAGAAAAGAGTCAGAAAAGAGTTTTCTCTACATTCTTTAGTATTAGACTATTAGTATCTTCTATAGAGTAATAGAGATTTCAACGTGTTAAGTTTATTCAAAAATTCTCAAATCAAACGAATAATATAACGTTTTTTTTTTGTTTAAAGAATGGATCACTAGTTCTAGTTTATCTTTATAAACTTCTACGACATCAAATATATATATATATATATATATTCCTAGTTTAGCTTTAAACTGACTTGTCTAGCAAACTTACATTTAAATAAGAAATCTAGGGTAGATTGCATGTGGTCCTAAATTAAAATTTTATGTAGTTGTCAAACTATTGGCTATTTTCGCAAGCTAAAAAAAAAGAAAATAATATTTATTAAGTTGCAAAATTGATTGTTTGATTAAGAGAGATAAAATATATAAATACTCCCTCTATTTCAAATTTTTTTGTGTTAAAGCAATTTGGAAATTTCTCTCTCTCTTTTTTTCCTTTGAGACGTTTTTTTTTTGTCAACAATTTCCTTTGAGACGTTTAAATTCGAAAATTGGGTGAAAAAGAGGAAAAAAGAAAAGAGAATGTTAGCTTGGAATTTCATCAAACACTTTCCGTGCAAGAATCTCTCCCGCCATATCCTCAGAGACAAAGTCAGACCTCTCTACTTCTTCACTTCTTCTACTCCTCCATCCTCCTTTTCTGCGTCTATCTCCTATTCTTCTTCTTCATCATCTTCGTGCTTCACTGATGAGTCTTTCGCTGCACCTTATCTCTCAGTTCGTATCCACTGTCCACAACATGTCCTCGTATGTGTATCTCTCTCATTCTCTCTTTTAAGTAGATGAGATTGAGATTTTGACTCTTTTCTTGTTGGGTTTTGTTAGGATCCATTCTCGGAGGCGCTCTTGTGTTTTGGAGCAAGCTCTGTAGCTGTAGATGAAGACATCGACGAAGATGCGGCTTCTGGGTCTTCTCTTGCTTCCAAAGAGGTGTGGACAAGTCTCTATTGCTTTAATATTCTTTCTTTAGCTCCATTTCCAGAAAGCACCAACCTTTTGTATGATTGAACAATTTTGAACAATTGAAGCATAAAAAGGAACGATTTTGCTCAGTCCTAGGAAGCATCTTAAGGCTTGATCTGTCTATGTTCTTGTAGTCTCATCAATCATGCTTGTGCTCTTTGGTATTACTCTCTGCAGATATGTATAGAATCAGTATTTCCAGTGCATGAAGAGGTGAAATTGTGCATTTCACAGGCTGCAAATTCCATAGGCTTGAAAGAGATACCCAAATTCAAAGTTGAAATGGGAGATGAACAAGACTGGATTACCAAAAACCAGGTGAGTTCTGAGTTTAACAAAGAAATGATCATTTCAGTGATTGCTTCACCTTCTGTTTCATTGAAGAAACCTTGCATAGTTACGATCAGAAACTCGACGCAATGACTTGATTTTTTTGTGGAAATGCCACTTGAAGCTGTATCTTTTGGTTCATAATTTGCAGGAGTTGTTTCAGCCTGTTGAAATCGCCGAGAGACTTTGGATCGTACCTGAGTGGACATCTCCTCCTGTATGTATAAAACATTCAATACTCTTTAACAATTTCATCCTACTGACAAAACCATTGCATCCATTTGGATATTCTTGTTACTGTTTTGCCTTGGTTGACATAACAAAGAGCGGTCTTAGGGTACTGAATTTGCAGAATATGAATCTCCCTCTTTCAGTGTCAGCTTATATATATACAAGGGATATATAAAGAAGTTATGTGTGGGTAAAAAAAGTACTCTTTCACTATCCTTTGCAAGGTCACTGAAGCGGTAAACATAATTCTGAACCCTGGATTTGCGTTTGGGACTGGAGAACATCCTACTACTAAGCTGTGTCTATTGCTTCTACAAAGTTTGATAAAAGGCGGGGAAGCATTCCTCGACTATGGTACTGGTTCAGGAATACTTGCAATCGCAGCCCTCAAGGTAAAAGTCTTCACGCCTTTTCTCAGTTTTTCACAAACCAATCATCACAACATAAATCATCTTTTTCAAATCTTCATGTATCCTTTGTGTATCGCTTACACGCTTACTCAAAATTTGCAGTTTGGTGCTGCATCATCTGTTGGCATTGATATTGATCCCCTGGCAATAAAATCTGCTAGTCATAATGCAGCTCTGAACAACATTCCTTTGGAGAAACTAAAGCTGCACCTTGCACCAAGTGAGGATAGCTCTTCTGGAAGAGAAATACCACTGCAAAAACAACAGTTTGATGTGGTCATTGCAAACATACTCTTAAACCCGGTTATGGAACTGGCGGATCATATCCTTTCATTCGCAAAACCTGGGGCAACCATTGGCATTTCTGGTATCTTATCTGAACAGGTAAATAAAGAGTTCTTTCTTTCATCTCTCATCACAGTCATGCATTGTTATAGCAAGCAAGCTACCTGCAAGTCATGGGAACTGATAAATTGAATGGCTCTTTTGCAGCTGCCAAATGTAATAGAACGGTACTCTCCCTTCTTGGAGGACATTTCTGTATCCACAATAGGTGATTGGGTATGCATGAGCGGTACCAAGAAAGAGGAGTTTATTGATAACTAATCACTTCTTCAGTGTTATATCAGAAAACAGACAATAACATAAAAAGCACTAGTAAAGCAAAGGTAAGAACAAAAGTGTCTAATCATCAGACATTAAGAACAGATCAGCCTTAATGGAGTTGTGTAAGAGGCTACAACTACACATGACATGAAACTTAATGTACTCTTCATTGTTGTATTCAAAGATTCAAGTCTATGATAATAAAATTTGTGTTGTCACCAACTCTGGTTATAACCATTGTATTTCAATTCTACAGAAACAAAAAAATCTGTCAACATAGACTATCTTCATGTCGTCGCTTCACCTGTTAAGTTTTCTTCTACCCAAAGAAGAGGTCTTCTTAGGAATGTAGACCTTGTAACTCACCTGAACAAATGAAAAAAAAGGAATAAATTTCAACAGAAAGGTTTAAACTCATGGAGACTACAAGATAATCAATATTTCAAGAATTGCAGGAACTTTACCTGAACCATTTCTCCACCCCTCATCACAGTCATCGTTTTTTGTTCGTACTGTGACTCATCTTTTGTTTCATCAATTGTTTTCTGTTCAGACTGAGATCCTCCTTTGACATCATCTAATGTCTCAGTGTCAACATGAGAAGAAGACTCAGCGTTAAAAGTAGTAGAGCTCACTTTTGTTGTATCTATGTGTTCATTTCCATTCTTTGTTACCAAAGCTAGAGTACTTTCTAAACAACTCTTATCAATGGTACTGCCATCGATGCTCTCAGCTTCAGCATCTTGGCTACCACTGGCTTCTTTCCTGCTAGCTAGATTTAAACTATCTTTACCCAATACCGGTCTAACTAACTTCCGTTTGGTTGTACAAGAGCTAATACCAGAACTAGCTTTAACCTTGGCAGTATCACCAGACTGCTGATCTTGTTGAGAGGCAGAATTCGCCAATGCTGTTCCAGATTCCTTAACATTAACAACATGTAAAATCTTTTCTGAAGTCTCAAGATCTTTGCTTACCGCAGAGTCACAAAGCTTCTGCTCCATGAGACCATGGTCTTGTGACTCCTCAACTTTTTCAGATTCAATTTGCATAGATTCTCCTTCTGAAACAGAAGACACCTCTTTTTTAGCTATTTCACTCTTTTGGGTCACTCCACGAAATCTTTTTAGATTCTCCAACGCTCTTTTCTTTAGAATAGCTTCCAGATCATCATTTTTCAAGCTTTTGTCTGTATGAGAAACTTTGCTAGTTTCAGATATATTACATTCCCCAAATTCATCATAGCCAACAGCTTCAGCGCGAGTTCTAGGATAAGATACGGTAGTTTCACCATCTCTCTCATCAGAGTCCTCACTATCTCCTAACTCTCTATTGCCACCGCGTGTCATATAGACATCTCGGTCATCTTCTTCCTTTCTCTCATCATTCCCATAACTATATGATACCACAATCGATTTAAGCCTTCTAGGATTCTTCTCAGTCATAACATCATCTTCCACTTGCCAGCATTCATCAGGCTCACTCTCTCCTTCCAACCCATCTCTACTTCTACTCCGCACATCCTTAACCTCACCAAGTCTTCTTCCTCTATCCCTAGACCTTCTCTTCCCATCACTCTCACTACCGTCATTATCGCTCTGCTCACTACTAGTCGAGCTTGAACTCAAATCTCTCTTACGTCTCTTTCTTGAAACAACTTTCTTCTTCTTCTTCCCTACATATTCGTCTTTCCTCTTCGATCTTTTCTTCTTCTTTAAAAGACGATCATCATCATCATCATCACTCTCACTACTAGAGTACCTCTTCCGTGACCTCTTCTTGATCAATTTAGATCTACGCTTCTTCTTTCTCCTGTAATCATCTTCTGAACTAGAATACAAAGAAGAATCTGAACCACTTAATTCACTCTCTTTAATCCGACGAATCTTCTTTGATTTGTTTCTCTTACTCTTCTTCTTCTTCTTCACAGATCGCAACTGCACATTGTAATTCATGATAAATCCCAAATTAAAGATCAATACTTTAACACAAATCAAATCAAAAGTTTCGATTTTTAATCCCATCGATCTAATTGACATACATCAGAAGATAATGGGTAAGTCATAAATCGATTCAATCACAAGAAAAATCTCAGCTTTTCGAAGCCATGAGAAACAGAGAGAGTACCTTATTAGACAAATCTTTGGAATGTTTGATTATCTTTGAGGACGATGAAGATTTGCCCATTGTAACGTACTCACGATGGTATTGCTTTCGCTTCTCCTAATATCTGTTACTGCAAACAAAAGAGAGAATTGAGGAATCGTTAAGGTTTGAGTCTGAGAGAACACAAATCGTTTTGTCTCACACACATGTAATGTAATGGCTATTGAATTTATAATTTTATCAATTGGGAAAAAAAGGAAATTTTGATTTGGTTGGAATTGGATGACAAACCCTAACTTTTAAAAAAAATTCCTAATTAGTACCAAACTGAAGAGGATTTTTCCTTTTTCTCTCTTAAGGATGTTGTTACTGAAAAACTTTAAGAAAATTGGGAAAAAAACACAATTATAAAAAATGTCAAAGACTTTAGGAGGTTTATTTTTTCTCTTAAGAATAGTCTCTTACAATTTATTCAAAAAAAAGAAAATAAAGACTATACAATTACATGTCCGCCTTTCCACCAATATCCTCCAAAAAAATCAAGTCTAGATTCAAAAAATAAAAACCTATAGATAATGAAAACGCATAGTCTACTAATCTCTTAGTTTCCGTATACACGTGAAAAATACCAACTATCAAGTCCATTTAGAAAGTTTATTGTTTAGTGAACCCAAACACGAATCATGTGTTATCCGATCTTAACTCCTTTTTTATTTTTTTCCAAACTCATAATCATGGGTTATTCGTTTAATGAGTTTTTTTATTGGATTTTAATAAAGATTTAAGTTCACATTAATTTCTACGAGATATTAAAACAACAACACAAGTTTCATACACATCTATAAACATGCTACTGATTTCTACACTAACAAGCTCTGCTCTTGACAAACATTATTCCACAAAAAAAAGGTAACATTTAACAATCTTCTGTGTCGCTTGTGCTACCATGAGTATCGATATAAACCTCAGTTGATAAATCGATTTCATCCACGATCCTTCCTCTGTAAAAAAATGATTGCAATCAACCAGAATTTATGGCTAAAACCATAGACCAGAGAACTTTAGAAGAGAAGATGTTACCTTTCCAGAACAAATTTGCCTTCTTTATACTTCTGAGCTTTCTCGTGCGCTGATTCCTACAAACAAGAAAGCAACAAAGTGAAATCAGAAACTGCTCTAAAGAATCGTGGAAGCGGCACCATAGCGAGATTGCGGGTTAGGTGAGATTTACGTATTTCCAGCCAACATTCTGTCCACAAGAGCAGCAGAAAATATCAGCTACCGTGTGCATACCCGAAAGCATCAATCTTTCCTCTAGTGGACCCATACTTATGTTCACCCTAAAATCAAATTTAACATTCCAATCAGCTCTACATATATCCAACCCCATTGCAATGTGTATACATTTGGCAAATAGTAGCAGCGATTCTTTAAGCCTTGTCTATACATATACTGATAGCAACAGAATACTAGAAGAGTCTACATTGTTAAATAGACAAGGGAAAGTTTCTACTGATTGAAATTCAAGAAACAGAACAAGTACATATATTCACCAAGGAAGTTTATACTTACGAACGATTGAAAAGGTAAGCCTTCCCTCTGCGGCAATGGAACGACTGCGGAAGTCAGATTTCAAACAGAACTAATGTCAGACGAACCAAAGCTAAACAAACATTATACCATAAGCTAAAATTGCCTCAATTTCTCAAATGATAAACCTTCATCTAAATAACACAAGAGTTTAAGTAGAAGCAACTCTAAGTATAATAAATCCAGCTTAAAATATAAGTTTCTCTCAAACCCTTTATCCAAGTACGTTAATTCTACAATCTTTATGCCTTAAACCCATGAGAGAGACACTAAACACATATGAATCGAACTAACAAATATGTTGAATGATTTAGAATTTTGAAGAAAGATGAGAACTTGGAAATATATGTAAGTTATAGGATGAAAATTTAAGGTACCCGAGAGACAAGATCATCGGGAAGAGCAAGATGGGTTCTGCAGAACCTGCATCTGTAAGATCTTCCTTCAAGCTCCACCGTGAATATCCTTCCCATTTCTTCTTCACTGCTCTATCTCTCTCTCTCTCTTCTCTCTGTTTCTTTCTTTACCAACTAATAAGAGGCCGTATAAGTGATATGTTGGGCCTTAATTGGGCCCATTTCAAAAATTTGGTCGCCAAGAAAAGTCAACAAAAGCAACTAATGATTTTTTTTTGTATATATATATATATATGTAGAGGTGTCAAAATGGGTCAAGATTCATGGGTCAATCCAACTCAACTCAACTCATGAACCCTAATGAGTTGAAAATTTTGACTCAACTCCATGGGTTGATGAATCAAATAAGTTGGGTTATAATGGGTCAATGGTTTTAATGGTTTATCCATTTAACCCATCAATTTATGTTAAATTGAATCAAACCAATTCAAATCTTTAAACCGATTTCAATTTGAGTCTAACCAAAACTTCTAAACCGATTGAATATAGTCCTTAATTTTCCCGCCAAAAATGTGAATACATAATTTTCCCGTCAAAATAAAATTCGTGATTTTCCCGCCAAAAACGTAAATCCGTGATTTTCGCGTCAATTTTTTTTATAATTTTTAACCAAAAATGAGAATGTAAAATTTCCCCCCCAAAAACGTAAATATGTAATTTTTCCGCCAAAAACGTAAATATGTAATTTTCCCGCCAAAAACGTAAATCCGTGATATTTTCGAAGATATTTTTTTAAAAAAAAATTGGCTTTTGCATTAATTATAATTGAATGTCATTGGTGTATTATTGATATCTAGAATCCGGAAATTTTTTAGTCGAATATTGTCTTAACTATCTATGTAATATTCCATAATGCCCAAGCTTTTGTGGTCTAGTGGCAGAGGAAGCTTTGGTGAAGGGTGAAACTTCCAGACCCGAGTTCGATTCACCCTGAAAACAAAAACACATTTGTTTGGGAAGTCTGTCAGTTGGGTCTTGGCCCAATTGGTCTACCTGGGAGTCAGAAATGCAGGCGGCCTGACTACCCCCTGGCATTAGTCGGAAGGCATTCCAAACTCGGATCAGGCAGTGTGGTGGCCCAATTCTACCTGGATCGGGAGAAGTCCACTCTGTAGCACCTCGGTGCGTTCCTACCGAGGCCGACCGGATCAGCCGATAGGGTTTATCAAAAAAAAAATCCACCACCAAGATGAAGAGAAGTATATAGTTCAATGGTTGGGATAACTTCCACAAGGTAATAAACGTGAAAGATAAGTTAGCGAGTATTTGTCTATGTAGATAAGTAGTAGTAGAAAGTCATTGTTGATAGTAAACCAGCTAAAAAGTAGAGCAAAAATGTTGTAGATTGTTTAAGTGATTCTTAATAAAGGAAAATAAGTTCTTTTCAATTGCCTCAACATCTATATAATAACATGTTCTTGATGATATTTGTGTTAGAAACTTAAATCTTGTTATTATCAAGATGTTTTACGCACAAATATACACCAAGTTTGTAATTGGATGCCTTAGATTAGTAATTTGGCACAACACCGAGGTGCCAAAGCCCAACTGACAGACTTCCCACAATAATGTTGATAACAGCAGGTGGAGTCGAAACCGGGGTGGAGAGAATTTCACCCAAACAACCAGGGCCCACCAAACCACCCGCCCACCACCATGTGGGCAATTGGTGGTGGATTGCCCGTGTGAATCCACATCAATCCTACACCTTGTTTTACTACGACACGACTTTATATTACTTCTATAGGTAGATAACTATCATCTTACTTATACTTTTCACGTTTATTACCTTCTGATCGGATCCACTCTTTGGATTAGGGGACGAGGCGGTGGAAGCTGATTCGCCGGATGCGGAACGTTGAGCTTGCGTGAAGTTGTAAACTCGCCGATGATGAGTGCATCGTGTGGAATCAAAGAAGTCATTTTTTTGGGCAAAATAAATTAAGTAAAGGTATATAGTTAGACAATTTTTGTTTTATACAAAATTAACTAAATCAGTCTAATTCGATATGTCTAATAGTGATGGTGTTAAAAATAACAAAATGAAGATTTAACCGGTATTAAAACGGCGTATCACGATATATGCAGAAAAAAATTTGATTTTTTTTTAACTTTATATATTATATGATGATTTAAAAAAATTATAAAAAAATCAATCAAAGATGATAAAAGAATCATAATTTTGAATCTTAATCAAATTTTCTATAAATCTATATTATTAATTACGGAATATTATCACATAATGTTTTTTTTATCACATAATGTTTTTGTTTACTTTATACATTCATAATATCACATAAAACAATATAATTAGGAGAAAAACTTTACGATACAAATCATTCAAGTACAATATTAAAAAAACAAGTACATACATAATAAGATTCAGATAGTTCAGACCATTCATCACGACCCATATCCCTATGCTCACACACAGCTGTATTTCTTCCTGAAAACGTCCAAGCCCTAGCTTTATCCATTTTCCTTTCAATTTCAATTTACTTTCTCTTTTCCAAATTAAATTTTTCTTGGTTTTTTCGTGGTTTTTTCTTATGTTTTACCCTGAAACTTTAAATACATGAATGATATATCGTCCAAGACCAAGTTCCGATCCCGTACGACGCGTGGATTGCCATTTCCATGCACCAAGCCTACTCTCTCCACTCATTAGTACGTATAACCACATTGCATGCATGCTCGTATCACGTGCCGTTACTTCGCCGGCCAAGTTCATCAACGGTTGTGTATCCCCCACTTGGCATAATCTGGAGCGTTCAATATTTTTGGGACCACGACCATCATCATCGTCGGAGTTTGATAATGTTTTTTAATATTTTTTCACTCTCAGATTTTGTCATTTGCTGCGAAACATGCATATTGCCATGTACTTGTATTTGAATACTTAGGGTTCTTGTAATAATTGCTTGATATAAATAGAAATTTAGAGAATATTCTTGCTGGGAAGATTACAAATACTTGAAATTAGTTTTAGTCCGACAAAGAAAACAACCCTTATTTTTACCTCTTTATGTAGCTAAAGCAGTATTTCTGCAATTTTGCAGATACCATATATAACATTGCACCTATGCGATTGCAAATTCGTCTTTAATCAGTGCAAATAGTAGGACACTCAATGTACTAATGTTTAATTTTATCTATTCATTTGAAAGTGTGTATGTGTGTTTATTTCACAACACCGAGGCTAGCTCTAAATGGAAGTATCTAGTGGATTCCGCCAAATCATTGACTTAGATATTGAAAATTTTCTTTGGCACATCATTTAAATGTAATTGATTTATTTGCGGTTTTTTTTTTTTTGTTTAAGTCAGGCCAGCTGAATTTTCTGCTTTTTTAATTTATATACATAGTGTAGATAAAATTAGGCAGTTCATATCACTTAGCTGTTCTTTTTGTGTAAATAGCTGATTTTTTTTCCTACATTTATGTTGATCAGTGTTTTTCAACCAAAATTGGCTTAATTAGTTTTTTGTTTGCAAATGTAACCAAATGAAATCCCAAGATAATAATAAGCATACATATGTGTACATATATTCCTTTAGCTAAAACATCATGAAAATTTGCCATTTAGCGAGACGTATATGCGAGTCTGTGAATTTGTCTTATGACTAGGTAGTATAGGTTGGTGATGCAACAAGGGCAATAATTGATGATGGTAATGATGATGATGATGGTTGTGTTACACACATACACATATCATATATATCTATATAGTATACACACGTGAAATGAAAACGCATATATAATATAATGGTAATAAACAGATGTATTATTAATTATGTCTCTTTCTAAAAATAGACATCTGAAAGCCATCCTTCTGAAAGTGAGGTGGACTGTTGTACAAGATCTGAACTTGGGAGTGGTCCGTTCGTCAGCATGCGCATCATATTCATCATCCCCGTTTCAAAATCCTTAATTTCAAAACTACTAATTCTTTTTTGGGGGTTATATAATAATTTTTCGTAGTTTAACAATGCATGAAGGTAATCAAAATTAGTATGTAAATTATTGGCAGTAACTACCAAAGTATATGCATGTTATCTTAATCAATTAAGACAAAAACGCAAATTGTTGTGCTTAGTCGTCAGATGAATACGAATGTAGCAAGAAGATACAGCTAATTGAAACTGATTTAGAGATTTCATTCATAGACTGTTTAATCCAATGAATTATATAAGTACTTAGTTTTAAAACTTGTCAACCGAGAGAAGTAATATTTGGCAGTCACATTCACATATGACAAACCTTAGCTAGAATAAACAAAAACTACATGTGGCGAAAAAAAAAAAAAAAAAAAAAAAACAAAAACTACATGCATGTTTTACATTTGAGCATCTTCAATTGATGAAGAAATTATTAGCCAGATACGTTAGGTAATTACGGAAATCATCTAACCGGAAATTGGAACGGCCGTTGAATTCTTGAAACACATATATAGCCGCCATATCAAATTTTATTAACAAGAGGAAAACTAACGTATCTAGAAGGACCGATTAAATTCATATTGTCGGGTAATATATGATTGAAGTGCTAACCACGGACACAACGTATCCACTGTCAAATATCATGTTAGAAATATCAAATATGTAAAAGCCATGAAATTAACATAATGTCAAACATTACAAAACGAGCATATATAGCTTATACATATGCACGTTACATAGTTCAGAAAACATTTTCCTTGCATACTCCTAATTAACACGACCTGATACACTTAAAACTAGAGAATTAAACGGAACATCAAGCTAAGTGGAAAGTGCAATATTAAGCTCCTCGATACATATTTCATAATACCATATATAATCATCCTAGAAATAGATAAATAAAACCCTAACGGGAACACAATTATTAGTCACTTTTGTGATCAGTAGTTCCAAATACAGTCAAGTCCAGCATGAAGCACACCGGCCTTTGACTCATTCTCATCCGCAGTCGTCGGTAGCCAGTAATTGATCCCGGAGACGCCACCACCGCCTTGGAAAGAAGGTAGATTAACGGAGGAGGTCATTGTCGATGTAGAAGACGATCCGAAGTAAGGAAAGTGATTGAAGTTTTCTTGGAACGATCTGAAGTTAGATAGAGTCGAGACGTTTCTAGAGACGAAACGAGGAAAAGGGTCAAAGTCAAACCCTGGCGGCGGTGGAAGATGATTGAATGAGTTAACGTCTAAGCCTAAGGCAGTAGTAGTAGTAGGGACAGTGGAGAAACAGGACACGTGCTCAGTTATTGCGCTGGCTGTGACGGTTGTGTTGGTGCTACGGCTGTCGTAGGAGCAACTGCTGTCGGTGTAGCCGAGGGTGGTGGTGGGATCCAGGAGAGGTGGGAGTGAGACGGAGGAAGGAGAGCTTGGTTGTTCTTGGTTGTTTCTTGAGATTGTTGAGGGTACTTTTGTCTTTTTAGATGCACCAGTGCCGCTGCTTACGCTAACACTTGCTCCTCCTCCTCCTCCGGTGGCTCCGGTACTGGTTAAACTGGTTTTCTGGAAAACCCTAGAGATCACCCATTCATCCTGATGGAATAAATTACATTTTTGAAAAGTCAAATATTTTATATTATATATGTTGATCAGAAAGTCAATGTTAGATCTTAGAGATAAAAGAGAGTGAAGATTTTTAAAAAAACCATGGAGTAAAAGCTTGCAGAGATGGGAATGTACTTATGTACATTGGACACTACAATGGATATGGAACACTAATTAAGTAAACTTAATTAAATGAAATTTCATTTAATAAATCTAGGTCAGAAAAATCCTGAAGATTTGCATTGAGCTTTCCAAAAGTAGGATGTATTAATATTTTATTTTATCAGAACTATTAAATATTTTCTTGCTTTAGGAAAACACCATTATGATTGAAATCCCAATACATAAAAACAGCAGATCTTTTCTATTTTATGTTCCATGATGTTCTCAGATAACCACAGTAAATAACCATGCCTTTTCAGCCATCAATATTAAATGCAAGAAAGCAAAACAGAAAAAAAATCAACGTCACCGACTATGTCACACTCTTGATTTTTTTTCCAAATTAAAGATTATAAATTTATTAATCAAAGAAATTTAAGGGTAAAAGGTTTAATCGAAGTACCTTGGAGCTTCTTGAGATGAAATGGTAAGAGAATTTGCCTTCAAGACGATATTCATGCATAACCCAATTACTCTTCTCTCCTTTAGGAGCTCTTCCTTTGTAAAAGACAAGAGTCTTCTTCATCCCAACAAGTGCACAAGTCTTGGAACTAAAGATCTCTCTGTCTTTTCCGGTAGCTTTCCAGTAACCAGCCTCAGTTGCTCTGTTTGTTCTCAGCCCCGTTGGATATTTCCGGTCACGGAGGCTAAAGAAGTACCATTCTTTCTCTCCCATCTTAGCTCTCCCTAAGTAACATTGAGAGTAAAGATTTCAAGAACCTTAATTACAAAAAGAACTACAAGCAAGTTTGTAGTAATTTGTGTTTTCTCTTACCGGGAAGTTGCCAAGGCTCACACTTGTTGAGATCAACTTCTGCGATGGCACGGCTTGAGAAGCAACCGTCGAGGACCTTGCGGAGGAGGTAATGAGTGATGAGCTCTTCGTCCGTAGGATGAAACCTGAAACCCGGCGGAAGATATTGGCTGTCTCCGCCGTGGTCATAGTGGTAATATGGAATGTCCATTAAGAGAAAAGATCTAAAGCTTTTGTTTGAGAGAGAAAAAAACCCTAAGGAGACTCAAATGTTTTGAGGAAAAGGATAAATATGTTAATATAATGGATGGTTCTTGAGTAAGGGACGTGGTTATAATGTGGATGGATATTTTTATTTTGTTTATTTGTTTTTTTTTTCTTTGATACATTGGGATTTGGTAAATCAAAAACGGCGAAATAGAGGGAAGCTTTTTTTTTGGGTAGTGAAAGTAAATAATTCTAAAAGATTACAAACCAAAAAGTCGTAGAGATGATAATTATAAATTTATAATAATAAAAAGACAGGTACGTCTACTCTTTCATAGGAATCTGTGGTTTTCTCTGCCTTGTCTTGTAGTAAAGAGAGCAAAGCCAAAGCAGATTATTACATCATATTTTTGAGTTTATCGATATATTTTTTTATAAACTCGAGATTTTTGTATTAAACGAATAAAAAATAAAATTAATCATGAAGTGTACGTATTTCTTTTAATTAAATTATTAAAGAAACGAGGAATGGGCTCTTGTTTCTATCTGAGTATGCGTGCGTGCATGAGAAAAAGTGCAGTGGTATTCTCTGTCAGTGATGAAAATAAAAGAGTGGATTCAGATTGTATCTTTTATTTCTATAATTTTGTTTACAAACTTGAATTTTCTTTTTATCATTATGTGTTTGGAAATTGGGATACATAATAATTTAATGTACATGCATACAATGACTAATCGAAACAATAGTAATATAGTAAGGGATACATTATTAGACATATACACTAGTTATTTGGAAAGTGAAGAGTTTCATTTTTATTTTTAATAAAATGGATATTATATCGATAAGGCTGTTTCAAATCTTGGAGTGTCAGCACAGTACATGATTAATTTATCAAAAAAAATTGACAGAGACTTCGTTACTACACGCCACCACCTTCTACACCTTTCACCTCTCTTTTTTTTTTTTTTATCTTGATTTTCTTTTCTTTCTTTTCCATTTTCCATTTTTTACTCTTTGCATTGCTTCAATTTGTAGGCTCAGCAAAATAAAGTAAAATTTCCAAAATATCATTATTTTTTATGCAACGAGATTTATGATGTAAGATTGAACAATAATTGAATCGAAAAGTTACAGGATATACCAGAGAAGATATTTATGCGGTTTTTTTAGTTTTCTTAGTTATCTTAAACAATTTTGTTTTCTTCTCTTTAATTTTTTTTTATATATTTTGGCTAGTTGCATGCTCATCAAATAACAATACTATAAGCAAAAAAAAAAAAAAAAAAAAAGTATAAGCAATTACATTTACAAGGTGTGTTTACTGGAGTATTCTCGTTAATCCAATTTTGTTGACAAGTCCACCAAAATGACATGACTAAACGTAAATTTCACTATTGTTAATTTCGTTCTGTTACGTCCAGTATTTTGACTTCTAAACAAACAAAATTTTATTTTAAGTGGAACTTCAAATTTTAGCCCTATTTGACATGTTTAGTCGTTATCCGTACTTGACTCATTTATTTAAAGTTCAAGTGAAGAAAAACATAAAATTAAAGAATACTAAAACACACCCAAAATAAAATTAAACTAAAGACTTATTGATTACTACCAACATTTTTGTTATCGTATAGAAAAATTGGATAAACTTAATTAAATCTAAATAATTCGCTCCTTCAGCTATTCAAATCTACGGAGTTATCACGTGTGTAATTATTAATTAAAAAAGAAGAAGTTATAAAGTGTGTAAAGTAACAATTATACATTGAAAATCATTATCAGAGATATGCTAAGACTATTACACCTGCTACTACTGTTTAATAGTAGTAGTATTTATTACTGTCTAGAAATTGTAGGTCTATCTATACGTCTTTTTAGACATATCTGCAAATGACAGTAACTAAATCTAATTAATAAGATCCTTTCCTGTCTTAATTACAGATAGTTGAAGTAAAAGAATATTACCAAGCTATGAGCAGAAGCCATAACAGTATATCATTGTAAGTTGAATACATTCTTAGTGATTAGTGCGCCAAAGTGTTATTTGTCAAAAATTGAAAACAATGGCTATCATTTCGCCAAACGGATTACAATGTTGATATTGGCTCCTGCCAAAACTAAGAAATATTTGCCTACCATAAAATTTGTTGTTGGTTTATCTATCATTTATTATCATACTTTTACTGATTTTTATTTTTAAAGAGGTGAGGTATGGGGTTAAATGTTAATAACTGCAAAAGCAAATGAACAAAGGCCAATAATAAACTATTTGACATAAGAAAAGGCCAATAATAAATAATGATAACATAATAAATGCAGGGGGGTTAACACAGTATTAACAAACAGTAGAAATTCCCTCGTGACCTACTCAATTGAGTAAACTAATAGCCCAATCTATGTCTAATTTTCTTTGTAGTCAACATTTCTTTTTTAATAATACATGATTTTTATCATTTTATGGTTCGAAAGAGGATCTTACTTTAGATAGACTTTCCCAAAACAAAAACCAAATTATTTGTTTTCTCGATGGTTAAGCTCAAGCAGTCGAAGAGTAGGTGAGGAAAGGAGCAGGTGAGATAGCATTATATCATCACTTCATGAACTCTGTTTTCTGTAATGTATAAATGTTTACTCTATAATTTAATACTATTGATTTATATGATACAGTATATTTTTTTTTTCTGATAAATTTATGAGCAACTCAAACCACGGCCACAAATTTGACGTTAAAATAACACTAAATTTAGTGTTATAGTGTCTCATTTTTTCTCATATCCAACCCACAACACCAAATCTCACACCAAAAAAATATTTTATAATGTTATCTTATTGAATTTATTTATCTTTATAATAATTTTGCTAAATACTATTTATTTCTATAATTGTTTAGTTATAAATTAAATATAAGATTACAATAAATGGATTTAAAAAAAAACTTACACTGTAATTCGGACTAGAAGTTTCCAGTTAATGCATTTCGAAATTCAATTTGAGCTTTCCGGACAATCTTCTTACAATTAGTTTGTATGTTTGTTTGGTTTTAGTTTTGTAAATTTTTATGTTTCGAATGTTTTATTATATAATAAGTATTTTTAGTTAATAAAAATAATTTAGTTATATTATTAAATGAGAAACATAAATAAAATATTAACTTTTTTAGGCCTTGAATGGTTGGTAGGTATGGAGCGGACCGGACTAAAGTCGGACTAGTCCGCACTAAATTTACCATTCAACAAATCGGATTAGTATGCAACACTCCGGATTAAAAACTCCATACTAGTATGCAAAACTCCATACCGTGTCAATTCCATTACTTTTTGGTTTACACCTTTCAAGCTCCATACCATCTCCATACCTACTCCATACCAATAGCAAAAATGAGATCAAAGTGTGTTTCTTTAAAGTTGGATCCGAGTACTTTTTTCTCATTGGTTAAACTTGTGTTTCTTTGTACTTTTCAAAAACATTTATATATATGATCATTCACAATTGTAAAAACTCACAAAAACAATCATTTATTCCAAAAAAAAAAAAGTAGAGAGAAGAGAGAACTCTCTTAGATCTTAGAAAGTAACTCTCTTTTTTTGCTTTGAATCTACCATTTGTTTCATCTCAAATTCATAAGTAAGTTCAATTCCTCATCTCAAATTTTTATAGTTTAGTTTATAGTAAATATTTGAGAATTAGTGGAATGTTTTTGAAGTTGTGAAGTTTGAAAAGATTTTTAGATTTTAGTAATGAAATTTGAAAAGGTATTTTTAGTTTTTGTTGTATAAATCTTTAGTTTATAGTAGACATGTTATTAGTTATTATTAGAAAATTGTAGTGTTTATTATAAAGACATGTTATTAATTATTATTAGAAAATTGTTAAAATTTGTTTTGGTTTTTTGTAAACACTTTTGCATACTATGGTACGCTTTTAACCATTCAAGTAATAAACTTTAGTGCATACTATGGTATGCTTTAGTGCATACCATTGTTTAGTGCATACCAAAGTATGCATGTCTCCGTACCAAAATGTTAGTATGCAGGTCTTAGTATGGAGCATACCATTTAACCATTCAAGGCCTTAGTGTTTTATAAATGGTATTACACCAAATATTATTCTGTGACATTTGCAGTTTCATTAAAACAAAAATACACTATATTTAGTGATGCAGCGTCCGGTTGAAATTGCTCATAAGGCAATTGACCAAGCAATGTCAAATTTGAACTTTTTTTTAATCAAATAATCAGATAGTACATTCGTAATTAAAGGATGGTCTAAATTTTTTTTAGTATGTATTGACAAAATATTTTATCTTATTAACAAATTTTCAGCTTTCTTACGTATTTTATTAGTTTGAAAGAATTTTAACAGGTTTGTGTGTAGACAATTTTACGTAGTGACAAAAAATATTATAGAATATTAATTAGGAAGTTTCAGCCTTAACCACTACTAATGCGTTATGAATTCATAAAAATTTGCTCGTTGTATCCATTTTTTTGGTATCAATGCGCCTTGCATCAAATCGAAATCTCATATTTTAAGCTGTCTAATATATTTTTTTCGTCTTTGTCTTAGCTTTAATTTCTCTATCTACAAGTTTTGTCAAACCTAGTTTAATTCAAATTAAAACGCACCCTGCACCAAATCTCATATTTTAAAAGTTCAGTTATTTTTAACGCTAAATGAATTAAAAATATATATTATTTCACTCAACATTGCGCATGAATGTTACACATGTATTTACAAAAAATCATTTTATTTTTGTCAACAGAAAAATATGTATCTTACTCATGAATCGTCTTACTAATTTCACAAAACTCTAAGAATATGTATAGTACCAATAGAAAGATATGTATATTACTCAATAAAAATGAAAAAATTCACAAACCTCTAATTTTTTAAAATTTTTTAAACCTCTAAATTTGTTATTTTACCTAATTGTCGCATCTACAACTTAAACGCGTTAACTCTGTACCTTCGCTTGTACTGAAGTTGCGACTCCCTTCCTAGTAGACATTAGACAAATGTGTCAATTCTATCGCACAACCCATAATCGATTTGAGGAAATTTTTCTTTATCGTTTTTACGATTATAAGCTCGTGCACTAATTTATGTGTGTTTTTTTAAAAAAAAAAATTATTTTCACTAAACAACGTCGTCGTTTCTTCTTTACCAATACAACTTTTATTGAACTCGTTGAATACGAGATGACGACGTCATTTTAGTTAACAATGTTGTGTGTCCGCTGTGTTATATGCACTAACATGCTGATGCTGTTTGGATCAATGTAGTTATGTAGATGTCATATATCACCCGAATAATTTAATTCATGTTCCAAGAAACAACTCACAACGATAGATTATGTAGTTTTTGGCATGGACATTTAGTTCAGATAGAAATCATCACGTTGAGAATAATACATGTATCAAAGTGCCCTTTTCCCACATCATGGCTAATGGCTTGCTGTTTTTTCGAATACGATGGTACATTTGTTTTAAACCTATGACAGAAAAACTATTATTTTATAAAATTTCACTATATTATATTAAATCACATCATCACATGCAAAAAAATATGATAGCAATTAATTATTAGCATGGGATTTTAACACGCATACAAAAAGCGCCAAATGAATAATAAAATTGCATGAACGATAAAATGCCTACTACTTGTTTTTTTTTTTTTTTTTTTTGTCATCGCCTACTACTTGTTCTTTACCTAAATATTTTCAAGTTCATTATCATTTTACAAATAAATCCATAAATTTACATATTTATTTGTTGTTTCAAAAATGTGAACATATTTGTGATTTTCGCTTCGTTTTACCCTTTAGTTTCTTACTATACACTTCTTTGGTGTTTTGTTTTTTTTTTTCTTGGTCCCCTTTGGATAGCCTTACACCTAAAAGCTAGCTGTTGATGCAACGTCTCTCTTTTTTTCTTTTCTTTGCAACTTGATGCAACGCGTCTTCACTCTTCTAGACCATAGTACAACCCCCAGATATACATTTTACCTGTATACTATATATTTGTTTTACATACGAACAATTATTTCTATTTTAAAACTTTTATTTTCTTGAATTTCACGTCTCTTTATCTGAAAATAAAATGTAGCAGGATCGAAGTTAATTACGATCACGTTCGTGCTCAATTCTTTTGTTTATTTATTTGATTTATAGATTGCATACAAATATTTTTGTCATCAGATTACGTTATGGTTCTACTTCTACACAAGCTTAGCTTAATTAGTACCTCATATTCACTTATCTTAGCATCACACCACTGCACAAACCTTGACGGTGGATCCAAAGATAGAGAAGGTAGTTCCATCAGTACTAGCACGTTTCTCATTTCTCTATTGGCAAATCACAATTTATGAACTATAGTCTATATAGAGGGAGAGAAATCATAGAATTCACTGCAACATCTTCAGGATTTCCGACAGCTTCTATAGTAGATTAACACTTTGATTCGGAACCGCCTATCCTCCTTGCATCGAGCTCACCCTCTTTGCTCGAAAATTGTGATTTGTGACCAAACTATGGTTCTCATTTCTCAAGAAATTTTACATAGAGCTTTATGTATAAATTATAATATTGGTTCACAATGCTTCTTGTCTTCTTTTCATTTATTTTTTAGAATTAGGTGGTAGTTCTTTCAAAGTTTATCAATGAAAAATCTTGGTTAAACCAAAATAAATTCAATGGATACAGGCTCTATACCAAAATGGTTTAATGTTTATGAGTTGGCTCTATACCAAAATGGTTTAATGTTTACGAGTTCATCCTTAATGGGCTTTCAAGCCCGTGTTGTCCCTATCATCAGGTCCAGTGGCCCATTGACTGGTATGATTGTCCGTCCATATAAGACTACACCTAAAAATACAAATACCTGATTAGTTGTCACTTGTCAGAGAACTTCTGGTCCTGGATCTGTACAAGCAGATTCACATTCTTCGTATATATGGACATAATGGTCATAATAGGACTTCTTTAATTTACATGGAAAAATAAATAAATTGGAACTACACTAATTAGATTCTTCTAGGTCTTGCCATTTTCGTATGATACACGCATTTAGTTAATTTTTAGGTGTGTAGTATTATACTGTGTTAGATAAAAGTATCCGACATATTTGCATACAATTAATGTTTAGATGTAAAATATTAAACATAGTCTATACATTTTTCAAGTCATACCTATCTATGAAAATTTGTGAGTATTAGTTTCTTTTATAATTTTCAGATTAATTTTGAATTACAAAGAGAAAAATTTAAGACTGGAATATTCAGAAAAAAAAAACATTCTTCAATTATCATATTTAGTTTGAAAATCAAATTAAATCTTAGATTGAAAACCAGCGAATGCGCATATCCTAATCTAGTATATCTAGAGAGGAATGCCTTAAAAAAATTGAACTAAATAAATATCACATTATGAGAAAACATTGATTCGATGAGTTGTGGTCTTCTCCATTTGGACAGAGATAACGAGACGAATACGAACGAATGGTAATAAATATTTTTCTTTCTCCGTTTTGTTAGTTTAGGAAAGGGATAGGGAGAAGGAAGACAAATGGAAGCTTGCGTACCAAAAGCACGACACGTAAAGATTTGGAAGAAGACGTATGGTGTGAGTCATCTCATCTTCACAAATATGTTTTGGTTTTATCTTATGCTTTGTCTTATCCTACGTGGCCATTTAATCGTTACATTCGTCTAAACCATAATAAAATCAAATAATCGTATAAATATCTTATCTTACCGTAAAGATGGTGTGGTCCATTTCTCTTTTATGGTTTTTGCTTTGGATGTTTCTCAACGGTCACATGAATTCTTTTTTAGATTACCAAAAAGTTATGGGTTATAGTCCATAATTAATCTTTTCGGATTAGGGATTAGTACATCTTTAATGTAGTTTACTTTACATGGTTGTTATTTAAACATGGGATATTGTGTCCTTTGTGTGGTGGGTTATTCAAACCAACATTAGCCTCAATCAAACCAACCATTCATTGTGTTGTATGAAATTTGCTATTGGTTGCTCATTTGCTGCATAAATTCGTAAGAAAAACTCACATAAATTACTAACTGATCATGCATGGCAGACCCAGAAAATAATTTTACCAGGGTCAAATATATAGATACTTTAAAATATATTATATATCGATAATACGTAAGAGATTATATATATTTTATCGATAATTTTTCTCTTTAATATTTTTATATAAACTAATTTTTTGAATTTTCTTAAAATGATAGCATATTTCGATAATAGTAATACAAACATTAAAACTAAACCATCTAGCATAGCAATATGCTTAATCACATATTATAATTACGTAAAATAATTTAAATCGCATTAAAGTGGTATAAATAGTTTGGGTTTATTATATCAACGTATGTAGAGTTAACTACAAATTTTGTCAACTATCTAATCCATAAAAAATTATTTTGTAATAGATTAGTACTTGAGACAGAAAATAAATGTATTATAAAAGAGAAAATAATTAATAATAAATTAAATTCCATAGACAATTAAACGTAAACTAAATGAGAAAATGGGTATTGCAAATTAAGATATTTTTAAAAATGAATTTATCTTCAATTTCAATGAATAATGAGCGTTGCAAGGGGTGTCATTGAATCCAAGATTTGATATAATGAGGTCAAACACTACCAAATATGCTAAAGATATATTCCATTTAACATATAAAACAAATTTTTATACTGTATTAAATAAATATTAACGTTGCACTGAAATTACATGTTTTACTTCAAATATCATTATGTTAGACAAAATAAAAATAAAAGTCTATGACATCACATGGCAAATGTGGGGAGTGGAGACCCCTAGACATGTTCAGTTCAAGAACCAATAGTTTTTTTTTTTTTTGTAGGCTTCAAGAACCAATAGTTGACTTTACGTGTCTTTCTGTAAACTTGATCCACTGGTTATTTTACTTTTTTATGTAAGTAGTAACCCTTCTATTATGTTAATGATGATGGTATAAGTACTGTATGGTAAAGAAATGTGGAAATTTGTGATAATAATTAAACCCATATGCCTGATAGATCATTGGATTAGTTTTGTGATTATATTATTAGTATTGTTATATTTCTAATATACAAGTTGACTGCGATTCTCAGATCACGTAAGGACCGGAAGGATCAGATATGGAAGAAGCTTCCAGGCGTCTGCCTCATCCTACTGTGGCATTTTATATTAGCAGCATAGTTTTTTTAGGACTTAAAATATTTTTAAAATAAAGTGTAGCATTTAAAGCTTTCTACCAATCAATGACCCCGTAGTTTATACTCCCTCTGTCCCATTTTATTAGATTTTTGGAGTAAAAACACAGAGATTAAAAAACAATAAATGTTTTCTCATTTATGAAAATTTAACCAATAGAAGAAGATACTGCATAATTAAAATAATTTAAAACTATTAAACTAATATAAATTATGCATTGAAAGTAGAAAAAATCTTATATAATGGAACAAATGAAAATGCCTAAAACATCTTATATATTGGGACAGAGGGAGTATTAAATAAATATTAACGTTGCACTGAAATTACATGTTTTACTTCAAATATCATTATGTTAGACAAAATAAAAATAAAAGTCTATGACATCACATGGCAAATGTGGGGAGTGGAGACCCCTAGACATGTTCAGTTCAAGAACCAATAGTTTTTTTTTTTTGGTAGGCTTCAAGAACCAATAGTTGACTTCACGTGTCTTTCTGTAAACTTGATCCACTGGTTATTTTACTTTTTTATGTAAGTAGTGACCCTTCTATTATCTTAATGATGATGGTATAAGTACTGTATAGTAAAGAAATGTGGAAATTTGTGATAATAATTAAACCCATATGCCTGACCTGATAGATCATTGGATTAGTTTTGTGATTATATTATTAGTATTGTTATATTTCTAATATACAAGTTGACTGCGATTCTCAGATCACGTAAGGACCGGAAGGATCAGATATGGAAGAATCTTCCAGGCGTCTGCCTCATCCTATTGTGGCATTTTATATTAGCAGCATAGTTTTTTTTAGGACTTAAAATATTTTTAAAATAAAGCGTAGCATTTAAAGCTTTCTACCAATCAATGACCCCGTAGTTTATACTCCCTCTGTCCCATTTTATTAGATGTTTGGAGTAAAAGCACAGAGATTAAGAAACAATAAATGTTTTCTCATTTATGAAAATTTAACCAATAGAAGAAGATACTGCATAATTAAAATAATTTAAAACTATTAAACTAATATAAATTATGCATTGAAAGTAGAAAAAATCTTATATAATGGAACAAATGAAAATGCCTAAAACATCTTATATATTGGGACAGAGGGAGTATTAAATAAATATTAACGTTGCACTGAAATTACATGTTTTACTTCAAATATCATTATGTTAGACAAAATAAAAATAAAAGTCTATGACATCACATGGCAAATGTGGGGAGTGGAGACCCCTAGACATGTTCAGTTCAAGAACCAATAGTTTTTTTTTTTTTGGTAGGCTTCAAGAACCAATAGTTGACTTTACGTGTCTTTCTGTAAACTTGATCCACTGGTTATTTTACTTTTTTATGTAAGTAGTAACCCTTCTATTATGTTAATGATGATAGTATAAGTACTTTATAGTAAAGAAATGTGGAAATTTGTGATAATAATTAAACCCATATGCCTGACCTGATAGATCATTGGATTAGTTTTGTGATTATATTATTAGTATTGTTATATTTCTAATATACAAGTTGACTGCGATTCTCAGATCACGTAAGTAACGGAAGGATCAGATATGGAAGAAGCTTCCAGGCGTCTGCCTCATCCTACTGTGGCATTTTATATTAGCAGCATAGTTTTTTTTAGGACTTAAAATATAAAATGCACCCCCTCCTTAACACATAGGTCCGCCACGTGTGCTTCTCATTTCTGATTAAATGCACCCCCTCCTTAACACATAGGTCCGCCACGTGTGCTTCTCATTTCTGATTTGGTTTTAAGTTTAAAAACAAATTCACCCTCATTACCAAAATTGTTTTGACTTTATAAATATCATTAAAAAAGACCATCATCCGTCAACGATGATTACTTAGACATATAGCCACGGATTTTGAACTATGGCCACTCATTTTTTTCATGGCTATACAAATTTCGTTTAATAGCTAGTTATTAAAATACATAATTGTCTTTTTAATTAAAACGATGATAATTTAAGAAAATATCTAATCAGAATCAGATAGATGAACGACTATTACTAATTGAGAAATATATAAAATAATTAGTGTAATTCGGTAATGAAACAAATATTTTTGGGGTTAAATCCTAATTCCAACCATCTCCTAGTTGGGTTAATAAATAAAATTATAAAAAATTTAGTGCAATTCGTAATAAAACAATTTTTTAGTGGGTTAAATCCAAATAAAAACGAGTGGTTGGAAAGTAAACGCAAATATTTTCTTATTTTTCATTCTCCAATCTGGCAAACAAATCTCACTCTCAATCAAAACACACATCAAAATCAAAACCTTCTCTTCTTCTTCTTCTTGCGAGTTGCACCGAAACACTCAACAAAACCAAACCATCCAAATTTGGTAAAATAAAAGAAACCCAAAAGAAGAAGATCGAATTCAAGAAAAGAGATGGAGAATGGATCAACGACGAGCACAATTACCATCAAAGGGATTCTGAGTTTGCTAATGGAAAGTATCTCAGAGGAAGAAGAAGGAAAGAGAGTTATATCTCTAGGAATGGGAGACCCAACACTATACTCGTGTTTTCGTACAACACAAGTCTCTCTTCAAGCTGTTTCGGATTCTCTTCTCTCTAACAAGTTCCATGGTTATTCTCCTACCGTCGGTCTTCCCCAAGCTCGAAGGTCAGTTTCGTCTTTTCCCTTATCTCTCTCTCGGTTAGGGGTGTCAAATTCGGTTCGTTTAACTCAACCGAATCAGAATTAACCGAGTAGATAATTATACCGAATTTTAATTAGGATGATTTGATAATTAGGTTGTTTTGAACCTTCTGATTGAAACGGAATGTTTCATTTTTAATATATATCTATGAGACAGTATAAAGACTTAACTTGCAAATAAAGTCTCACGCTTTTGTGTAATAATAAAACAGGGCAATTGCAGAGTATCTATCGCGTGATCTTCCATACAAATTGTCAGTAGATGATGTGTTTATCACATCGGGTTGTACGCAAGCGATTGATGTAGCATTGTCTATGTTGGCTCATCCTAGGGCCAATATTCTGCTTCCAAGACCTGGTTTTCCAATCTATGAACTCTGTGCTAAGTTTAGACACCTTGAGGTTCGCTACGTCGATCTACTTCCAGAAAACGGATGGGAGATCGATCTTGATGCTGTCGAGTCGCTTGCAGACGAAAACACTGTTGCTTTGGTTGTTATAAACCCTGGTAATCCTTGTGGGAATGTCTATAGTTATCAGCATTTGATGAAGGTTAGCTTTAAACTTTGATATGAGGAAACAGAACCAATGTTGTTTTTTGGAAGTTGATGTATACAAATTTGTGTTTTAGATTGCGGAAACAGCGAAAAAACTCGGGTTTCTTGTGATTGCTGATGAGGTTTACGGTCATCTTGCTTTTGGTAGCAAACCGTTTGTGCCAATGGGTGTGTTTGGATCTATTGTTCCGGTGCTTACTCTTGGCTCTTTATCAAAGAGATGGATAGTTCCTGGTTGGCGGCTCGGGTGGTTTGTGACCACTGATCCTTCTGGTTCGTTTAAGGACCCTAAGGTTAGTAATAGCTTCAATCTTTTTTAAAAATCGATGATCCAGAGAGGGCAAATAAGCCGTATACTTACTGAAATCTTGGTCATTTGGATCAGATCATCGAGCGGTTTAAGAAATACTTTGATATTCTTGGAGGACCAGCTACATTTATTCAGGTATATATATGTCACATTCGAAATCAACTTCTATTGTTTCTGATTATCTTAAAACATTAATTTTGTTCTTGATTGTGTTGCATCAGGCTGCAGTTCCCACTATTTTGGAACAGACGGATGAATCATTCTTCAAGAAAACTTTGAACTCGTTGAAGAACTCTTCGGATATTTGCTGTGACTGGATCAAGGAGATTCCTTGCATCGATTCCTCACATCGACCAGAAGGATCCATGGCAATGATGGTGAGCATCTATATACAAATTGTGAAAAATGTTCAGAAATTGTTACATATCTTTAAACATGGTCTTAAATATTTTATTTCTGTATTTCTTTTAGGTTAAGCTGAATCTCTCATTACTTGAAGATGTAAGCGACGATATCGACTTCTGTTTCAAGTTAGCTAGAGAAGAATCAGTCATCCTTCTTCCCGGTAAGGATATTATTTCAATCTCTTAAAATGAATTATACATTTATCAATAGTAATATTGTTTTGATACATTCCTTGTGTGTGGATGAATGCGGCTGAACAGGGACCGCAGTGGGGCTGAAGAACTGGCTGAGGATAACGTTTGCGGCAGATGCACCTTCGATCGAAGAAGCTTTTAAAAGGATCAAATGTTTCTATCTTAGACATGCCAAGACTCAATATCCAACCTTATAGTTGATTTCTGATTTTGGTATGGTCATAAATTATCCCTAAATTATATGCTCAAAAACACAGATACAGTATATACTAGTATATAGTGTTTTTTTTTTCTCCCTATATGTGTCGATATAAAATTTCTTCATTGTAATAAGATTAACTCTTAATTAAACACATCAACTAAGGAGCCGAATGGGACCTAAACGAATAAACAGAAAAATGTTAACTTCAAAACTTAAAATGAAATATTTGGTTATTAAAAGAGGTTTAAAACTTTATGTAGCTAGTCCTAGATCATAGACTTCATAGTGGTACCCTGATGATAGGCAAGTATGAGCCCAATCTTTTGGACACAGCAGAATTAGTCTAGGCCCAATATATTTGGTCGTAATTGGTAAAAGATTGTTTGTCTACAAAACAACAGAGCGTATCTAAAATGGGATATAAAGTGCTTACAGATTCTGATATGCAAATTCCAAATTTGAAAATGAAAGAACTCGTAAAACAAGATGCATTGTCCCAAAGAGAACAAAAAAGAGTTCATACTTTATTTAATTTTTTTTGCTTAAATGATAATGCTATTAAATTTAAGTAGGTACGATACGACCAGCCCACGTGAAGACATGCATGTATTTGAGAAAAATACTTGTTAATCAACTACTTATTTTAATTAATTAATCAGAATAATTTAATTTCTCTTAGTCCCAATTCATTCTTTTGAATAGTATAGTGGGTCCATAAAGAACAGTTAAGTGGGCTTTTTGGCCCCATAGCTTTGATTCCCAAATGACCCCTTCTAAATAAACCGACTCTTGTGTTATTCTTTCTATCCATTTTGAAAAAATAATTCTTACTAGAGTTGAATAAAATTATATAGGGAATCAGAATGAATATGATTGTTCTAAGGTAGGTTTAGAGATTTTAGAACTATCACTACTTGGTGAATTACATTTCGTAACTTTTTTTGAAAGTTATACATGATTTTTTTGAAAAATAATACATAAATGATACATTTTCCCTTTATGATTGTGGTTTAATTGTTTTAGTGTCAGATAAACCACAATTTTCAGATAAAACTTAAAATCCATTTCGTTATACATGCATCGAAAGTCTTTAAATTTACAGAAAGTTTTTGCTCTGAAAATTCAAATGTGATTTCTTGGTTTACTATGAATTTCTTTTCTATCAATGCATTAGTAACTTTAACAACGTAAGTTATGTTTTTATATAGAGTATTTTTAATGTATTTTTATATGTTCTAGTATATGTTAAACTTATAACCCATAAAACTTATCTTAGTAATGTTGTTAAGGAAACAAAGTTTGGAGTTAATTTTGTTTGCTTATCTTTTACATAGAACACCATCAGTGTTTAAGTATGAGTGCGTGTGTGTATATAAATACATCCTTAGCCACAACGTTGTACATAGCACAACAAAGAAAAAAAGAAGAAGAGAAAATGGAGAATTGTCAGAGTCAGAGTAGAAACAAGAAGAAGAGGTTAACACAAGAGCAAGTAAGACAACTGGAGAAGTGCTTCACTGTGAACAAGAAACTCGAGCCAGATCTGAAGCTTCAACTGTCAAACCAGCTAGGTCTACCTCAGAGACAAGTTGCAGTCTGGTTCCAAAACAAGCGAGCCAGGTCCAAGACTCAGTCTCTCGAGGTCCAACAATGCACTCTTCAGTCCAAGCTCGAAGCAGCTCTCTCCGACAAGGCAAAGTTAGAGCATCAAGTTGAGTTTCTTCAAGATGAACTGAAGAGAACGAGGAATCAGCTTGCTCTGTTTACAAATCAAGATTCTCCTGTAAATAACTCTAATCTTGGTTCTTGTGAAGAAGGTCATGATGATCAAGTGGTGGTATTCGACGAGCTTTACGCTTGTTTTGTTAGCAATGGACATGGATCTTCATCAACCTCTTGGGTCTGATTCTGTTTCGACACAGACAAGATTTCAATATTTAGTCTTTTCTCTGTTTTGTTTCGTTTGATTGGTTTCTCTTTGTCTGGATAGATTTACAATCTGTAATTAAAGTCATTCAGACATTCCACTAATACAAAGAGATGATTTTTCTTCATTTCTTGTTATGGTTATAAGAATATAAGAGAATTGGAATCAAGATTTGCAATGTTGTAACAACACAAGAAACCAACAACTACTTCATGGCCTAGTTTCATCTTACCTTGTTGATCACACCAAGTACTTTGATTCAATATTTAGCATCATGTACTAGATTCTGCAATGATTCATAAATCTAGTGTTAAAAGAACTTGATCATCCAAATATAAGCAAGATTATTTGGCAATCACTTGCCAGAGAATTATGAATCCGCAAACCGCAATGATTCACAAAGCAGCCTGTTGCTGTATGAGCAAATATCAATGGTTCACAAAGCATCCCTACTGATGGATAAGCCAAAATCAGTATTTGCTGCATCTATCCTCTGCCCTACAAGTCCACGACTCTTCACCTGCTCCTTGAACCATTTCTAATGCTTTTTGAATCTTAGATAATCCTCTAAGTGGCTTTACCGATACAACAAATGTTTAACCTGTAAGCTTCATTCCTAAACAGAGTTCTTGAAGTTGATCATTCTTGAGTGTGATTTGGATTCCTTGTGAACAATATATATCAATGAGCCAGGTTCAAATTGAGCCGGCCATGGGGCCAAGCAGGCACTTGCGTCCTTCGAAAAATTATGGGCCATTAATGTAGTGTGTTACAAAAAAATAGAAAAGATTTGTTAGTGATGGGATTCAGACCCCTTCGAATCTCCCCGACTACAAGGCATAAGTTATAACCATTACACTAAAGTGACTTTTTGTAGTTTTACGTTTTTGCGAAGTTTATAGAGATCATAACTTTTTTGTTGGTTCCAAGATTTACAAGGGCATTAGGGATTTACAAGAGCATTAGGCATTATCAACACTAACATATCTTGGTCAATCCCACCCCTTTATTTATGAAAGAAATGTCGCATTCTTGCTTTGTTCATTTGGACCGGAAAATATCTCGAAAAAGGCAACGTGAGCATATTGTTAACGAGTTGATGAATTTATTATAGAAAAGTAAAACATATATCGAAAGACAAATCTTATTACAACTTCGAGGAAAAGACAAAACACTAATAACGACTTCATGGTCTAGTAGTTTCTTATTATTTCGTTATCTTATGACAGCTGCTACGTACTTTCTTTATAATGAAATTGTTTCATTCAAGATTTGTATCGTTGACTAGATCCTGCAAAGTTTCAACAAATTTATCGGTGTAACCGGTTAATAATCCATGACTAACCAAAACCTCCTTCAATTTAGTGTGGTTCCTCCTCACCAGATTCCCTAACTCACTATCTTTGTCCATCACCGAGGTGATCGCAACACTTAAGCTCTCTTTCGAGAACCATCCTGTTTCTTCTCTTTGCACTTCCACAGAAACCTCAAGTTCCTCACTCATCAATCTAGTGTTGAGAACTTGATCACACAAATATGGAAGCAAGACTATTTGGCAATCACTCACTAGAGACTCCCACATTGATCCAAACCCACAATGATTCACAAAGCATCCTACTGATGGATGAGCCAATATCAATGGTTGCTGCACCCATTCTCCCCAAACCACTCCTTGATTCTTCACCCTCTCCTCAAACCCTTCTGGCAACGCTTCTTGAATCGTCTTTGCGCCTTTTGGTGGTTTTACCGCTACAAGAAACGGTAAACCAGTGAGCTCCATTCCTAAACAGAGTTCTTGGAATTGATCCTTCTCTAAAGTGATTTGACTTCCCAATGCACAATATATTACCGAACCGGGTTCGAACTGATTTAGCCAATGATCCCATCGATCTTCAAGTGGTCTACTGTTGTCTGGCTCTGGAAGCATTGGACCTGTCAAAAGAACCTTCCTCTGGTATTGTCTCTCGATATAGTCGCAGAATTTACCTTCGACTTCTTTACAAGTCCTAATTGAGATAAAATCACAATTCTTTAGACCTGTTGTTATCCGATAATGAAGCCTCTCGTAGAAGATGGAAAAGGTCAACAAAGCGTGAGCATCTTGTCCACGGTACAACACTTTTGACGAAGGATAACCAGGTGGAGGAACTCCTAGTTCACCACCTGGGACAAGTTCATGAGCTATGGAGTTAGCCGATACCACAAAGTAGAGCACACTCTTGACTTTATGTTCTCTCGCCATTTCCGGAACCCAATAAGCAAAATCGAAAAAGATCAGGTCTGGTCTCAAAGCACTAACCGCGGCTTCGACCTGATCGCGTGTGAGATCCATGGCTGCGGTCAGAAACTTCCCCAACGAGATGGGGATATCCGAGGCGGTCTCGGCGCCATCAGGGAGACCATCAACATGAGGAATAGTAAGAGGACAAAAGACGATGCTATCTGGACACAGATTGTGATGTTCCAACTGTTTTTGAGCTTTCTTAGGCAGCAAGAAAGTAACCCTATGACCTTTCTCAGCTAGCTTGTTGGCTAGATGCAAGTACGGAGTCATATGGCCAAAAGCGAACCATGGGAACATAAAAGCGTGAAACTTTTGGCCCATATTTCTTTCTTAAATTGTCGAAACAAGCAGAACACAACAAAAAAAGGTGTCAAAGAGAGCCAAAAGAAGAAAATGTTGCTGTGTTTCAAATCATAAGCATCTTTGTTTTTCTTGCTTAAAAATTTCTGCGATTGAGATAACCTCTATATTTGACTTGGAGAATATGCTTGTTAAAGTCTTTGAAGGGTGTTTTAGGCTTATTTATTAGTGAGGGTTGGTGGTTTAGTTGGTGAAGTAGTGGATTGCATGTGTTAAAATGTCCTTTGTTTTTATTAGAAAATTTGTCTAATCTAAACATTATTTGTAATGTCATGCCTCGAGAGAATACAATGCTGCGTGTCAAAAAGTCAAAAGTAATCGATCTTATGATAATATGACATACCAGCTGGTTTGACGACGAGTGTCAATCTGAACCTGATCAGCCTGGCCCTTATATTTCATTCATTCGAATGCGTAAAAGCCCAAATGTTCTTCAAAAAATAAAAACATTAGTAAGACATGAGATGAAAAAAACAAAGACAAAAACAAACACTCAAGGCAGGTTGTTCTTTAACCTGTAATCTATCTTTCTTGATTCTCTTAGGATCTGACTTCTTGTTAGGAGAGTACTATCTTATTCACTAGTAGATCAACAACTTTAGAAACATGATCTATCAACAATTTAAACAGACCCAAATTATCAAGTTAGAAGCTCTTCAGGCTTAATATGTTTTAGGAAGATGAAGCTAGCTCATAACCTCATGAAGTCATGGTATTATTACAACACAAACACACATGCAATCTCACGTTCCAACAAAGAAAGCAAAACTGTCTTCTTTTCAAAGATCAAGTAACTAAAGAAACAGATACATTTTTTAAAACCAGGAGGAGAGTGGATGTTTTTTCATTCAGAGAAATGCAGTTTCGATCGGTCTTCGACCTTGTTGATAGTAATCGAAGAAGTTCTTCTCAGACTTCTTAACTGCTTTGTACAACCTTGGTCTAGCCTCAGACACAAGCTCATTTACAGGTTGAATCTCTTTGTCTTCATCAGCATCACAAAACGTTACCACAGATATCCTTGCCTTTTCGTTGTTAAGCACCACTCTATGAACCGGGCTCTTGTATATTCCATTGCTCATTACCTAAACATTCATGAGAGATTCTGTCAAATCTACACCAACCAATCTTCAAATACACATGAATCATGATAGATTACCTCCATAGTATCTCCTACATTGATCAGAATTGTATGAGGGAGGATTGAAGCTTTATACCACTTGCCATCTTTGAGGAACTGAAGTCCATCCACATTTTTGTCGGGTAGGATCATTGTAAAGGCCGAGCCATCAGAATGCGGTTTAAACCCAAGAACCTTGTCCGGCCTCGGACATGGAGGATACATGTTGAATCTTGTCTCCAACGTAGCATTTTCACCATGCATCTCTAGAAAGCAATTATCTTCCAACCCCAACGATCTAGCTAATGCCTTGAAGAATTTCTCAACCACTAGCTGTTGCTTCATTGTGTATTCAAGTAAAGTTTCCCTAAAGAAACGATTTTAAGAATCACAATCTAAAAGAAACTGAAAATTTTCATGCATGGTCCTAAGGATATTACCTGAATCCGCTTGGGATTTTTGGCCAGAATTTAAGCTGTCGTTGATCTTCAGGATAAGTAATGAGGTACAAGCGGTCGACCCAATCAAGAACTTGATCATCAGACAGAATCATGTCGTTTCCAAATCCTTGAAAACTACTAGTCTCTCTTGCGTACTTCTGTTTCTCTTCGGTCGGAAGCACAAAGAACTGCCTCGTTAGCTCGAGAATCTTGTCGAGAAAGGCTTCTGAAATTCCATGATTCATCACCTGCTTCAACGATTTATCAAGTTTCTTCGATGCATTTTTAAGACTGTGATCATTAATTACTAAGAGAGTCAAAAACTCAAACCTGAACAACGCCCCATGTAGAGATCGCTGAGTGAAGTTTACTCAACTCTTCTCGACCGTCATCAGAAGAAGAGAGGAGAAGACTAAGATCGATGACCTTAATTTCCATCTCCGGCATTGAAACGTTGAAAGGTTGATCAGCTTCTCCGTCGCCGGTTGGTGTGCAGAGGTATCTTTCCGGTAGTTTTTCTCCGGCTGCAAGCAGCTCTTGGACAGTCTTCAACTTTGGCATTTCCATTGTTTCAAAGGATCTTTGTTTGATGATCTTTTTGGACAAATTTAAAGAAACTTCGTAATAAACGTAGATGAAAAGAAACTTCGTAATGAACGTAGATGCTCTGAATTTCTGGCCTGTTTGGTATTTCCAAACCCAAAGACAACACTATATTAATACGTAACAGGACAAAAATTGCCGTTTCGTTTACCAATCTCAAGAGAGAGTTTTCAAAACTAAACAATACTCCTTTATTTTTTATTTTTTACTTTGTATATATCGATTGTGGCCAAATTTAAAGGGACACTTAACAAAATACTACTAAAGTATATTTTAGAAATTTAGAAATTACACAATGTAAAATTTAGTTTTAAAAGTTTATAATTTATTTATGATTTATGATTTAGGGTTAGGGTTTTGATGCCATCAAAACTTAATTGAGTAGGTCTCGGCTATGAGAAGATCCTGCATTATTCCCAAATATTGTTTAGGAATTTACTATTTTTCTTATCACCAGCATTCAAAAGAGTTAGAAAAAAAAATCTTTAATTATTTGTAATTTTAAGACTACCTATCTAATGTCAATCTCAAATTGAGTCATCTAGCTATTCACCCTAGAAAATATTAAATAATACTAACATAGTATTAAGATTAATTTCAATCAAGTTATATTTGATTATAGAAAATTATTTTATAGCTAGTAACTAGTAAGTGAAACTTGAGCAGAACATAGACAATAAACGAACTACTTGGTCTTATTAATCATAAGTTCATAAGACTACTTACAATGGTGCTTTTTAAAACAGTTGAAATATTTATTCAACTGCTGAATCAATTACAATGGTGTGTGGTAAAAACAAAAGAAATGAAGTGGAGTAAACAGAGTTGAAACTCTTCAATGCTGTTGAACCAAAAATTATGGGGCTCACAATGCCACGTGGCAATCAATGAGTGGGTGAATTTTTTAATTATATGATAATATATAGATAATGACACGTGTTCTGTTTTTATTGGATACTGAGATTTCTGTATTTCTTATCCCACCCAATTATTTGAGATCAATTATTTCATAAGATATTAAATTTTATATTACTTTTTTTTATACCAAAATTCATCATTTTTCATACTCTATAAATAGAGACTTGTTTCACTTCATTTGGAGACATAAAAAAAACCATATTCTTTTACTATATTTTTGTTATCAACCTTCATAAACTCTTGTTTATTGTTTTACCCGTCTTTTACTGAAATGGATCCTAATAATAACCCTTTTACTTATTTTAGATTCATTTGATAATAACTGTGAATAATAATATGTAATCACAAAAAAACTTAAACATAAATAAAATGAAAAATATGAAAAGAAAATTTGTGGGGTAAGGTGTTGTAATTTTATTAAACAAAACTATTGTAGAGAGTAAAAATTATATAGGTGTTGAATTATGATGTGGAAGAGAGAGAAGATGATGTGGAATGTTAAAAAGAAAAAAGTGGGTGTTGTAAAATCAAAACCAATGTAGATAGTTACTTGGTTCCAAAGTTTTTCATTCAACATTTATATTTTGGACTAGTTTCTCCAGTGCTTCTACAAACTTATTGACATAACCACTCATTAGTCCATGACGAAGCAGAGACTCCTTCCACTTTACGTGGTTCCTCCTGACCTGGTTCCCGAGCTCGCTGTCTTTGGCCATCACGGACCTGACCGCAACGCTCAATCTCTCTTTCGAGAACCATCCTGTTTCTTCTCTTTCCACTTCCACTGAGACCTCTAGTTCCTCAGTCATCAATCTGGTGTTGAGGATTTGATCAGGCAAATATGGTAGCAATACTATTTGGCAATCACTCAACAGAGACTCCCACATTGATCCAAACCCGCAATGGTTCACAAAGCAGCCTACCGATGGGTGAGCTAGTATCAACGGTTGCTGCACCCATCCTCCCCATACCACTCCACGCCCCTTCACCCGCTCCTCAAACCCTTCTGGTAGCCCTTCTTGGACTGTTGATGATCCTCTTGGTGGCTTTACCGCTACAAGAAATGGTAAACCTGTCAGCTCCATCCCTAGGCAGAGTTCTTGAAATTGATTCTTCTCCAAAATGATTTGGCTTCCTAGAGCACAAAACACCACTGAGCCGGGTTCAAACCGGTTCAGCCAAAGATTCCATCGATCTTCTAGTGGTATGATCTTGTCCGGCTCAGGGAGGACTGGACCCGTCAAGAGAACTTTTCTCTGAAATTGGCGTTCCAAGAAATCGCAAAATTTCTCTTCCACTTCTAGGCATGTCCTTATCGAAATGACATCACAGTTTGTAAGTCCCTTGGCGATACGTTCGTAAAGAGTAGTTCCCTCTCCGAACGGATAAAATATGAATGAAAAGGCATTAGTTTCTTGTCCGCGAAGCAACACCTTGGATGAAGGATATTCTGGTAGAGTAGCAGCTAAGTTATCTGGCCGAAGACCAGGGACCATTGACCTCGATGCAGATGCCGCAGAAAACGTTATGAAATACACACTTTTGGCTCCATACTTTTTAGCTATTTCAGTAACCCACTCAGCAAAATCGAAGAAAATCAGATCCGGTTTCGCAACACGAACCGCATCTTCGACCTGATCGCGTGTCCAATCCATAGCCGAGGCCAGTGAACTTGATAACGAAACCGGGATATCTGATGCTGTCTCAGCGCCAACTGGGAGGCCATCGACAGGAGAGATAGTAAGAGCGTGAAAGACGATGTTGTCTGGGAACTGATTGAGATGTTCAAGTTGCTTATGAACTTTCTTAGGCAGCAAGAAAGTAACCCTATGACCTTTCTCAGCTAGTTTGTTTGCAAGATGCAGAAAGGGAATCATATGACCAAAAGCGAACCAAGGGAACATAAAAGCATGAAACTTTGGCTCCATTTTCTGTTTCTTTCTACCTTTCCTCTTCCAAGTTATCGAAATGGAAGTTGAAAAACCAAAAGATTTCAAGCCTTCCAAGAAAGCTACAATAATGAAAGTATTTGGTGTTTTATGAGAAAATTAAAGGTAAGTCTGAGTGTCAGACGACGGTGCGTTATGTCTTTTTTCAATTTATGAGGTCAATGGTCCCTGGTTTTCGGCAAAAAAAATGCATATTTCTATAAATTGTTACTAATTGTGTATTAATCGTGGCCTCAATAGAAGCAATTAAAAACAAGTATTTAAGCGCTGTTTTTTTTCGTCTCTGGCTTTGATTCTTCCGCACTGCAATACCCTTATATGAGCTTGAAGAATGGTTAGGTGAGCTGAGAGAGTAATTAGTGGATAGGTGAATCAATCAACTTTGTAAATGAGTAAATGATGATGTCCTCTTAAGTAGAGTAACATTCTTTTGTTTTGTTCTGTTTTTTTTTAAGGTGTTTTTGAGTATTAATCTCTTTATGCGTGGGCCAATTAAGTTAAGAGATCCATCCAATCGGCCGAATTATACATATGTAATGCCATAGTGGACTCGCATTATAGAAATTGAAATTTGAGAGAGTAGAGCTTAAAGTATTTTATTCATGTGCTTTCTCTTCTAGACTAGTTTATGTAATGCTTCTATAAACTTATTGACATAACCATTCATTAGTCCAGTAGTAACTAGAGACTCTTTCCATTTAGAGTGGTTTCTCCTCACTAGGTTACCTAGCTCGCTATCTTTGTCCATCACAGACCTGACCGCGCCGCTCAAGCTCTCCTTGGAAAACCATCCTGTTTCCTCTCTTTTCACCTCTATCGAGACCTCGAGTTCCTCGCTCATTAGTCTTGTGTTCAATATTTGCTCACCTAAATGTGGAATAAACACTATTTGGCAGCCATTCACTAGAGCCTCCCACATTGACCCGAAACCGCAGTGGCTCACAAAGCAGCCTATTGATGGATGAGCTAATATCAATGGTTGCTGCACCCATCCTCCCCAAACCACTCCACGCCCCTTAACCCGCTCTTCGAACCCTTTCGGTAAGGCTTCTTGGATTGTGGATGAACCTTTTGGTGGCTTTACCGCGACAAGAAATGGTAAACCAGTCAGCTCCATTCCTAAACAGAGTTCTTGGAATTGATCCTTTTCAAGAATGATTTGGCTGCCCAATGCACAATATATTACAGATCCCGGTTCGAACTTGCTAAGCCACTGACGCCATTGATCGTCAAGCGGTATACTGTCTGGCTCAGGAAGCATTGGACCCGTCAAGAGTACTTTTCTTTGAAATTGGCTTTCGATGAATTCGCAGAATTTTCCTTCCATTTCTTGACAAGTCCTTATCGAAATGACATCACAGTTTTTTAGTCCTATCATGATCCGTTCGTAAAACGTAGTTCCATCTCCAAACGGATAGGAGAGGAACGACAAACTGTTGGTTTCTTTTCCCTGAAGCAACACCTTGGACGAAGGATATCCCGGTGGAGGATCACCCAAATCATCAGGACTACGACCAGGGACAAACGAGATAGCTACACATGCTGCAGAAATCGTTATGAAATTCACACTCTTGGCTCCATACTCTCTAGCTATTTCCGGAATCCAGTGAGCAAAATCAAAGAAAATCAGATCCGGTTTACGTAATGAAACCGCTCCTTCGACCTGATTTCGTGTCCCGTCCATAGCCGAGGCGAGAAAACTCCCTAACGAGATCGGGATATCCGAGGTTGTCTCGGCGCCAGCAGGGAGGCCATCCACAGAAGGGATGGTAAGAGTCTGAAAGACAATGCAGTGTGGGAAGAGATTGAGAGGTTCAAGTTGCTTCAGAGCTTTCTTGGGAAGCAAGAAAGTAATTTTGTGACCTTTCTCAGCTAGTTTGTTAGCCAGATGCAAAAATGCAGTCATGTGACCAAAACCGAACCATGGGAACATAAAAGCATGAAAATTTGACCCCATTTCTGTTCTTATGTTCCTCTGTTTTTTTCGTCTTCTAATCTTGTTCTTAAGGTTCTTGTGTTTCTGTTTATGAGGATTCAGTTTCAGATGACCTAAAGTTTAGGAGAGCACTGGTACGAATTGAATGATTCAAGACTGTTACGAATATATCAATTATTTAGTTTGATTAATATCTATTTAAGTTGTTTATAATCTGTAGTTTCTTTTTGTTATGTAATTTTCGGAAATTATTCCCTAATCTTTGGTATAACTCTACAAAATTAACAACAATAAGTGAAAATAGTATATTATTTAGCTTTCCCAAATTACGGGGAAATTGCAAAGATCATGACATTCAAGGTTGTCTCTAATATGCCAAGTCTACAGTTGCAAAGAATTGATTGTCATTATATCCTCAAGAAAATATACCAAGCGAGAGAAAATAAAAATTGGAATATAATTCTTAACATAAAATGTTGAAATACTTTTAGAAGCACATTGTTTTACAAATTTAGAAAAAGAAGGTAAAACATGAATCTGGGTTTATTGAACAAACGTATCTAGCAGGTTGTTCTTCTATATTCCTCGTGAAGAAGGGGAACCTGCAACGAAATCCACAACGGGCGCAGAGAGGTCGAGTAGCACCATTGTTGGGACATATTTCAAAATCAGGTACTGGGTGTCCTAGCTTCATATAATATAAATCTCCAAGCACACAATCAATATGGAGACTTAGCCCACACTCATCACAAGTATAGTAACATACATTCGGATCTGTCTTCGTCTCACAAATATCACACCACAAGTCACCGCTTGCGTTTCCCACACCTTGACATAGTGACAGAAAATGATCATCACACCTATGTTTTACTTTTCTTGGTAAAGTAGCACACCTCATGCATAAAGAGTACTCATCACAAACCGTACAATTTAAGGGATTGTCCTCTATTTCTTTGTTACAAGCCTGACATCTTCTTGAACTTTGCAAGGTAAAGTATAAGGGATGTTGATGCAGATCATGGTGAAACGGTTCCGATACAGAACTACACCGAACATCATACCGAATAGTATTACTTTTGCAATCTTCATGAAGACACTCGTACATGAAACCATCAGTCACGATTTCACAAGCTCCACACTCAAGATTACTATCTTCATCAATAGGTGTCGGCAATGAAAGAGTGAGTTTATGGTTGTGCAATAAATGTCGCTTCTTCCGAGGAAGATTAGCACACGCTTCGTGAAGGATGAAATCACATTCCACGCATCTGTAGCATGGATCACCGTTGATAGCAAGAATGCAACACCGACATCGCATGTTAGCATCATCCGTAACATAATTCTCATCCAATCTGAGAACATGCTCTTCATGACTAAAATGAACGATATCTCCCTTTTCATTAATTATCTTGAAAGGATCTTCAATTTTTTCTTCTTCTTCAGGCACATCTTCGAGTTCTAACCCATCCCACACTTCTTCTCTTATTGCACATCTTGAATGGACGGCATAACTAGGACAACGAGAGCATTTATAACCTCCATAGACCCAATTAATCGTCTTCCGACAAACCCCACACTCCCAATCTCCTTCTCTTTCACCCATATGAAAAGTATGAGATATGCGATGGTCATGACGATTTATGCTTATGACTCGCGGTAGATTCTCAATTAATACAATCTTTGTGGACCATCAGATTGCATTCAAGACATACATAAGGATTGCGGTCTCCTTCCACACCACAAGCATTACAAGAAAAGGTGACTAACCTTAACAAGAGGGTGAGGCTATGCTTGTGGTGCTTTGGTTCGGAGATTGTGAGTGGTGGTTTGCAATGCCCAAAACAGTTTTCATCCACGTTTATGTTGCATATTGTGCAACGAGCAAAGAAAGACGTAAGCTTACTTTGACAAAAATGACAAGAGTAGTCATCTATACGGTCAGATGATGTGAGAGTAATAGGGAAGATCTTAATAATGTGATTGCATAGAAATGGAAGGTTGAGGAGGGGGTGGTCAACGCATTCTTTGTGCAACTTCAAGCCGCAATCCGTACAGTGATAGCCGATGCCAGTCAATTCTAATCTTAGAGACCAACACATGAAAGGGCACAAAGAGCAGGATTCCGATAATTCAAAAGTATAACTTGATAAAGGATGATGATGAAACGGAACCGTGAGTTTAGACATGGTGGCTACTTCGAAATTAGTAGAAGACATTTTTTATAATCAAAGAAGAAAAAGAAAGCAGAAGTTGAGTTATATAATTTGTGTCCTGTGAACTCTCCTCATCATGTACTAGTACTTATTAACTTCCGTGGAACTCATAAAATTCATTTTAGTTTATTTTCTTTGTACCAATTAATGGTAATTGATCGGCCGACACTGCCAGCTAATTTAAATATTAAAAAAAGGAAAAATCATTGCTAGCTACACGAACTATACGCCAACACATCACTACACATGCAGATTATTTTAATGTCTCGTTAACTACACGAACTACTGGTATTACATACGGACATCCCCGAACTATCATCGGTTATGTGTGCAACACCATAACCATCATTTTCAGATAATATAAATGTCTTGTTAACGACACGAAGTATTTTTTTTTTTGTCAACTACACGAAGTATTTTCCATCAATTTTTTTTAAAAAGTAATTAAAAATAAAAAAATAACTAAAAAGTAAATATTACGCTATTATAAATTATATATATATATATATTATAACTTTTAATGCATTATACTTTTAAGTTAAATTAATTTAACTAATTTAATATTTATTATATTAAATTGTTAAAAATTTAAAATAGTCACTTAGTTAAATTATACATCACTATAAGTTAAATAAAACTAAATAATATATCAATGTAAATTATATACCATAACCATCATTTCCAGATAATATAAATGTATTGTTAACTACACGAAATATTTCCATCATTTTTTAAAAACTAAATTACAAAATGAAAAAATAACTAAAAGTAAATAATACACTATTGTTAATTATATATATGCATTATAACTTTTAAAGTTTAAATTCTACATATTGTGGATGTAGGATTCACACTCGATTATCTTTAAGTATTTTTGTGGAGAAAAACTCTTGTAAAATCAGGAAATGAATATGAGAATTTGAAAAGGAAATCAACCAAGAAAAGAAATGAGGAAAAATTGATAAAGACGAAGTACAAAATGCCTTGCGAAAGATAGTAAAGAGAGAAAAATATATTGTATTGCTCAGAAGTAATGAATAGTCGCCTCTCCCCTCAAACACATGCGTTTGAGGTTGTTTTTATAGAGAAAACATGATCAATGCGGTCATTTACTGCTCATAATCACATTGATCCGCATTAATCATATAAGTTACATTTTGACCGAAACGACTTGAATTTGAACTATCTTGGGCTTCGCGCGGATCTTCCGAACTCTTTTTTGTTGACTCCGAACTCCCGCGTCTTGACGCTGCCGCGAACCTCGAACAATATTCTCCTCGCTTCGGCCGTTCTCAATGCGAACTGTATGTTGAATAAGAGCGAACTCCGTACTGGTAAAGATCGAACTCTTTTAGTAAACCGAATCGAACTCCCAACTGGTCAAGCTTGATTCTCATAATAAAATATCTTTAACTCCAAGAGGATTATTATGTAATAATGACGTGAACAGATCCAAGTGGATCCTACCAAAAATGTGTGGGATCCGGCCCCAACACATATGCAGTATCCCTTATAATTTTAAGTTAAATTAATTAACTATTTTTTAATGCACACATATATTTTATATGAAATTAATTTAACTAAATTTTTAAAAGTGTCACTTAATTAAATTATAATTTACATTGATATATGTGTGCATTATAATTTAAGTTGATATATTATATAGTTTTATTTAACTTATTAGTTTTAAAAAAAAATTGATGAAAATACTTCGTGTAGTTGACAAAAAAAAGAAATGCTTCGTGTAGTTAACAAGACATTTATATTATTTGGAAATGATGGTTATGGTGTTGCACACATAACCGATGATAGTTCAGGGATGTCCGTATGTAATACCAATAGTTCGTGTAGTTAGCGAAACATTAAAATAGTCTGCATGTGTGGTGATGTGTTGGCGTATAGTTCGTGTAGCTAGCAATGATTTTTCCTTAAAAAAAATTAAACATACGCAAGTTTATTACAAGTTGTAAAAAAATAATTCCAAATGAAATAAATATACTTGTTTGGGTTTCTTGGTTACTTCCATTAGCCTATTGGACTTTCGGCATAAATTATTAAGTAATGATCGCTATCTGTCAGTATCAGCTACTCATGTAAGATTTTTTGACAATTTGGCAGATAATCTATTAATCCCTTTGTTCCACCATGTTTAATGTTCTAGATTTTTAGTTTGTTCCAAAAAAATTGATATTTTAGGTTTTTATTTTATTATTTATTAATTAAAATTAATATATTATAAACTTCAAAATGTAAAGATTAACTGTTTTCTATCACTATTGGTTCAAAGTTATTAAAAAATATTTAATATAAAAAGTAATTAACAAATAATTAATCAGTAATTGCTTTTTAATATGGGAGATTGACAAAAATAGCACTAAAATAAGTTTTTCTTTCAAAAATAGCACTACATTTGAAAAGTTCCACAAATAGCACTATAAACTTTAATTAAATATTACATATGAATAATTAGTTTAATTAATATAAATAAATAAAATTAGAAATTTCCAGCCAATATTTATTTTCCCATCAAAAAATTTCCGCAACGTAAAAATATTTTCCCGCCAAAATTTTTTATCAAAATTTTCCCGCAAAAAAAAAAACTCCTTTTTTCAAACATTTTTCCGCAAAAAACAATCCCGTCAAAATTTTTCTGCCAAAAAAATCCACGAAATTTAGGAAAGATTTCACGAAATTCAGAAAAGATTTCACGAAATTCAGGAAGGATTTCTTGAATTTCAGAAAAGAATTCCTTAAAGGATTGCACGAAATTTAGGAAGGATTCAACAAAATTCAGGAAGGATTCTACAGGAAGGATTCATGAATTCATGAATTTCA